AAAGCATAACTTAATATTTGGTACAGAAACCTTTGTTTGCAATTACAGAGATCATATGTTTCCTGTAGGTCTTGACCAGGTTTGCACACACTGCAGCAGGGATTTTGGCCCACTCCTCCATACAGACCTTCTCCAGATCCTTCAGGTTTCGGGGCTGTCGCTGGGCAATACGGACTTTCAGCTCCCTCCAAAGATTTTCTATTGGGTTCAGGTCTGGAGACTGGCTAGGCCACTCCAGGACCTTGAGATGCTTCTTACGGAGCCACTCCTTAGTTGCCCTGGCTGTGTGTTTCGGGTCGTTGTCATGGTGGAAGACCCAGCCACGACCCATCTTCAATGCTCTTACTGAGGGAAGGAGGTTGTTGGCCAAGATCTCGCGATACATGGCCCCATCCATCCTCCCCTCAATACGGTGCAGTCGTCCTGTCCCCTTTGCAGAAAAGCATCCCCAAAGAATGATGTTTCCACCTCCATGCTTCACGGTTGGGATGGTGTTCTTGGGGTTGTAGTCATCCTTCTTCTTCCTCCAAACACGGCGAGTGGAGTTTAGACCAAAAAGCTCTATTTTTGTCTCATCAGACCACATGACCTTCTCCCATTCCTCCTCTGGATCATCCAGATGGTCATTGGCAAACTTTAGACGGGCCTGGACATGCGCTGGCTTGAGCAGGGGGACCTTGTGTGCGCTGCAGGATTTTAATCCATGACGGCGTAGTGTGTTACTAATGGTTTTCTTTGAGACTGTGGTCCTATCTCTCTTCCGGTCATTGACCAGGTCCTGCCGTGTAGTTCTGGGCTGATCCCTCACCTTCCTCATGATCATTGATGCCCCACAAGGTGAGATCTTGCATGGAGCCCCAGACCGAGGGTGATTGACCGTCATCTTGAACTTCTTCCATTTTCTAATAATTGCGCCAACAGTTGTTGCCTTCTCACCAAGCTGCTTGCCTATTGTCCTGTAGCCCATCCCAGCCTTGTGCAGGTCTACAATTTGATCCCTGATGTCCTTACACAGCGCTCTGGTCTTGGCCATTGTGGAGAGGTTGGAGTCTGTTTGATTGAGTGTGTGGACAGGTGTCTTTTATACAGGTAACGAGTTCAAACAGGTGCAGTTAATACAGGTAATGCGTGGAGAACAGGAGGGCTTCTTAAAGAAAAACTAACAGGTCTGTGAGAGCAGGAATTCTTACTGGTTGGTAGGTGATCAAATACTTATGTCATGCAATAAAATGCAAATTAATTACTTAAAAATCATAATGTGATTTTCTGGATTTTTGTTTTAGATTCCGTCTCTCACAGTTGAAGTGTACCTATGATAAAAATTACAGACCTCTACATGCTTTGTAAGTAGGAAAACCTGCAAAATCGGCAGTGTATCAAATACTTGTTCTCCCCACTGTAAATCTTTTGTCTTGCCCATTCACCCTCTGAATGGCACATAAACAATCCATGTCTCAATTGTCTCAAAGCTTAAAAATCCTTCTTTAACCTGTCTCCTCCCCTTCATCTACACTGATTGAAGTGGATTTAACAAGTGACATCAATAAGGGATCATAGCTTTCACCTGGATTCACCTGGTCAGTTTATGTCATGGAAAGAGCAGGTGTTCTTAATGTTTTGTATTCTCAGTGTTAGTATAACAGAGAAATTGCGCAAAAAAACAAAAAACGAATCTTAAGCTCCGGCCATGTCAATTCTTTTTGTGTGTGTCTCCCACCCAACTAAAAAAACGGTCCAGCCCATCTAGCATTTTCCAGAATTGCCTGATGGCCAATCTGTCCCTGGAGGTATCCTCTGCTATCATCTCTCTCAGGAAGAGACATGTGCCTGCTCCTGGGATGATCTGGTGGCCATGGTGGGGAAGGTGAAGATAAGATGCATGAGAGATTAGATGTGTGTCCAAGGAGATGGGTCCAAGTGGAGGAGGTGGAGCCATGGCAGTAAATTGAGATGAATCTGAACCTGCTTGACTCCCTCTTTAGAGGCAAATGTAAAAACCCTGGGTAAATGGGTGAATGAGATGTGATAAGGGTATCATATAATAACCTATTTTTTTCTTTCATTTTTTAAATTAAATTACTGTTTCCACATGCTAAACCTGTATAGGAGAACAGCTTTATAGTATTATTAAAGTCAGAGTGAGATGACAGAACATGTATCAAATCTGTCCTGCATTTTAATATCAACACACAGGTAACAAACATGCAGGCTGTGAATACAGGAGAGGCCGACAATAAAACTGAGCATTGTCTACATTTATGGAAGATAACACCATACAGGGCAGCTAGGGGATTTTTTTTACCCTTGAGTTTTGAGCTTCCATAACATTACCATTTCCATTCTTCTAATGTAGTGCTACAGACACAGACCTCACTGCCTGAGTCTGGCCACGTTTTAGGACCAGTGCAAGGAGAGGCTTTCTCAGTTTCTAAAAGATGTTGAAGTGTCCCTCTGTGATCTCGATTCATGAGCAGGGATATCAAGTGGATGGCTGAGAATATACGACTGGATTAGAAACCCTTGTTCTCAGTGGGCACTTTTCACCTTCAGTATTGGCAAAGCCACAGATGTATATTGCACTGCAGCCAATTTCCTCATTAACTCTCATTAGTCTCAACCCACATAATATCCTGGGCTCGAGGGCTCAAAGCACCTGAGGGTTGCCACAAGCAGCAGGGAGGGGGTCAACAAGCACCTTTACCACTCACAATCCAATAGCAATTAAACAAATAAACAAGTCAATTGAGAAAGATTAGTAGGTAAGTAGTAACATGTAAGTAGTAACAGGTAAGTAACAAAGCAAGTGATAAAGCAAGTAGATAAGTACAGTTAACAAAAGTTTGTTTATGTCATCATTCTTACACCAGTTTGACGAGCCAAAGAAAGACCGCTCGATCAAAGACATAAACCTCTCCGGAATGAGTATTATTGATGATACAATGGAGGCAATCAGTAAAATGTCTAAACCTTGCAGTAATTTCTGCATAAAAAACTATGCTTTTCTCAGTCCATTCTACAGATCATAAACTGTAATTTGGCTTAATTCACAATTCTGAAAGGTTTGATTTAGTCAGAGATCACAGCTGCTCAGGTTTGGTGCTCAACTGTAATGTAGGGCCATTAATCATGTTATGTGTTATTGTGGAGACAATTGGGGGCACCACCACCACACTGCTGGCTGCTGTTACTGCTGCGACCATGGTTCTGCTCTGCTCTGCCAATGTGAAAGCCAGGAGACAGGGAGGGCTTGGAGTAGAGAGGGGGCAGGGACATGGGAAGGGTGAAGTGCAATGTTCCAGGAAAACACAAAGCTCAAGATCAAGCGTTAGTGTCCTTCATATGAGCTTGTAATCTGGACCACATCAAAAACCTCCTATCCCCCAAGGTACCCACCCGGCCTTCACATCCACGGTTGAAACATCCCCAACGGAGCCCACTTCCAAATGTGTAAAGGAAGAGACCCTGAAAGCCGATTGCGTTTTAATAAAGTTTATTATCGGGTGGGAGCTAATCCTCACAGTAATCTCCCACAGCCCAAAGGAAAGCTGGATTACTCACTTGCTATAATCCCAATGAAATTGTTAGGATTTAGCTAGCGCAACAGACCAGATGGCAACAGGCTTTTTCCTTCAATCTACAGACACCCCCACACCCACCACTCCTTACCCCACCCCCTTACTCAAAACAAAATATTATAATTTTATTCATAAGGCCTCATGCAAAACATCAAGTGGGAAGATGTGGAGGGACAGAAAAAAGCATAATCTGGCATCTCATGTACTTTGGATATTGATGGTATACTGTATGTACATTTGATTTACATGAATCTATAGTTGAAGAGAGATATAAAACAGCAGAAAAGTAGTTAGAATATACACTATAACAGTGCCACTTGCTCCAGGAGAACTATCAAAGTCAACAAGTGAACAATCATGACAACAATGCACGATTTTTGCAAAAATAATTTTATTGATTGAGATAAGCAAAGCAAAACACAGTATATTGAGTTGAATGAGACCAGTAAGCCTAATGTAATGGACACCAGCCAAAACCCCAATCCTGCTTATTTTGTACCCTGTGAACAAGTGCTGCTCTACAACACTTCATTAATGTCTAAAAACTCTATTGTGCAAAGCTAATTGGGACATGTAACATGCACTAGCCAATCAGACAATAGCATAGCATGGCCAGTCACAACACAGACCACTGTGGAACAGAATGTGTGAACCACAGAATAAGAACTAATGTGTGAACACTAAGCTACACAAATCTGAGCACACACACACACAATCTGAACAGGGCGTATATATATATATATATATATATATATATATATATATATATATATATATATATATATATATATCTGTTATCATATGGCATCTTTGTTTATTTGGAAGCATCCGCATGCTTAATGCTAAAATCAATATAGATAATCTTCTTGCAGACACTGTTTTTCCAAAATGACATTCAAAGCACATTTATCTTTGTAAAATCACATTTTCGAATGGAGGCTGATTTCTTTCTAAGAATATAAAATAGTTGTTAGAGTACACAGCTCATAGAACTCTTTGGAAAGGCTTGCAATGACAGGCCCATGAGAAAGAGCGGTGTTTCTCATATTGCATTAGGGCTTTTATCCATAAAACTATATACATACAGTGATTATCTTTTCACATAAATGAATTTGTCATATGGCATTATATACAGCCTAAAAATTACAATACATATCAAATAAACCCCTTGTGTTGTATTCACAAAAATCATTAAAATCCCATTAATTCCCTCATGTTTTAATTCATCCTTCAGAAGTGGTAAAAAAATACAAAATTTTTTGGGTCATAAATTATTATCCTGAATGCAAGCACCACGAAGCAATCCATTGATGCAGAATATTACAGATCCTTCAGTTGGAGGGTTTAAGAACAGACCACAGCATCACTGTATGGGTAAAATCTACAGTAGCTCTGCCAGGTAGTGTTGACTCAGGGCAGCGCCACCTTGGCCCGGCGCAGCCGCCAGCGGTTCTTGAAGAAGAGGTACATGGCCAGCAGACACATGGAGGACATGAAGTAGAGGAGCACACACAGGCTGATATCCAGTCTGGAGAAGCCCACGCTCAGCAAGGACATCCAGCGCCTCTTGTTAGGGCGGGGGTACATCTCCAGAGCCCCCTCCTCCTCTGACCCAGTGTACTGGCCCGTCAGGATCCTCTTCTGCAGCGTGTTGTGCTGCCCTAACAAGTCCTCTGGCTCCACGGGCTGCATCCCCAGCCGCAGCACCGGCCCCTGTTCCAGGCCGGCTCCAGGCTGCGGCTTTTCCTTCTGCAGGGTCCTGCGTTTGACACGGGAGGACACCGCGGCTGCAGCGTGGAGGGCCTTGGCCTTGTACTGCTGGTTGATGAAGGAGTCCAGGTCTACAATCTCCTCCTGGTGGGGCCTGAACTTCAGCCCCACGATGCTGGCCCTGCGCTGGGGTTGGAGGGACACTTCTGCATTGGGCTTTACCCAGGGTGGGGGTTCAGACATCTGCACCTCTCCTCCTGCCCCTGCCCTCTGCGCCACTTCCTCCTCCTCTTCTTCCTCCTCCTCCTCCTCCTCCTCCTCTTCTTCCTCCTCCTCCTGGCCTGGTGGTGGTTCAACCAAGGTGTCCTGAGCCTCCCTGGCCCTCCTCTCTGCTCCTCTCTTGGCCTCCTGCTCCTGCTGCCTGGCGACTAGCCTCTCCTTCTGCCTGCTGAGGAGCTGGGCCTCCTCCTCCAGGTAGTCAGAGAGGAGGTGTTCAGAGGAGAAGTGGGAGTGGAGGAAGGTGAGCAGCTCTTCCTGGTTCCAGGTGTGTTCTCCACTCCTCTTAACCCCATGGCAGCTGGGACACAGCTCTGGGGACGGCCACTGGATCTTAGGGAAGTGGGGATCCTCACTCAGGGCACCTGGTCAGCAGGAATGAGACGGTTACTTAGGATGGGTGTGTGTGCTTACTTATCGGAGCTAACATAAATAAATGATACCGATAACAACAGTGATGTTGAGAGGGCAAACTGTTTTGGTGGAAATTTAAATGTATTAGGTAAAACAGACTGGTTCCATTGAAGGACTTACTGACGACATCTCACACAATAAAACTCAACTGATACCAAGAAAACACAGAGGTATTTTTGTATGCAGAATCTATGTTGATGCTTGAATACATTACATAGATCAATTTCCCCACATGGCTCATAATAAGCAGTAAGTGCAGTGTGTTTGCATCATGTGTGTGGGTGAGTGTGTGATGTTTAGCTGTGTGAGTGTGTGACAGGGTCTAACAATGATCAATGGGCTTCTGGGACATCCCAGAAGGAGGGGTGGCGAGATAATAGACGTGGTCCAAGCAGACAGCTACTCCCTCCTCCCCATCCCCAACCTCTCCCAGACCCCAAACCTCCACACCCCTTTGAAGACGGCCCAATCTCCAAATTGAATATGAAAGCAGGCACCTCCAGAGGGGAGCTCTCCTTTTAATGAATTACAATTTTTTTTTCCTTTGCATGTTTTCTTTAGCCCCCCAAATGGAGGCATCTGCTAATAAATTGCTTGTCGTCGCCCATGCGAGAGGAAAGTCAAAGCTGCAGCAGTTCTGTCACTTTACAGCGCTGTCAATTTACATCCCCCGTCTCTCCCCCAGATTAATCTCAGTCATATGCATGTGTGTATGTACTCTGCATACAGCACTTTACATAAGAGATACATCAATTTTACTATGTCCTGCTGGGCTTGGGGCGTTTTATACATTTCACCAGCGTGACAGCTTTCATATCCCGTCCCCTTATGACGACATGCCTCTGATGTCTCTATTCTCATCACCTTGCCTTTCATTTCCAGGGGTGACTTTAGCAATAGTACCAATACTGATATTGTAACAAAGGCTTGTCAGGAAATGTCATTCAAAGCATCGCATAAATATTAATGGAGTATAAATACATATCTATTGTTTACCACACCAAAATTGTTTCTTCGGCACTAATTCTGAATGTGGAGATCTACTGTACAGAACACAGGAGCAGTAATAATGTAGGCAGACTACATAGTAAACCAACAACATGAGGCTGATGCACTACAGTATGAGCTGCTCCATCTCCAGCAGCACTACTGAGAGAGGCTCTGCTGTCTGTAGACATGCGTCTCTATCTCACCCTGTTGACAAGTGGCAACAGGACAGGTCTGCTGTTGCTGCCGCACCGGGCTCGGCTCAGAGTCCCTTTGTGCCAGCTAAATTAATTGTGTTGCTGCTTTACAAATAGGCCCTGCTTCATGCATGGCTGCCTCTGAAAGGAGGGCATGGGGAGCTGCTAAAGAGCCCCACTTTAGCGAGGAGGCGGAGAGAGAGGGGTGAGAGAAAGAGAGGGGGAAGAGGAGAGTATGTTCCCCCTGGGGAAGACTGGGATGAGAAGCAGAGGCGTTTGTGAAGGGGGTGGGCCGACAGAGGAGATACTGCTACTCATTGCTACCAACACCCCTGCCCAATCCCCTCCCCACCAGCCCAGCCCACCCTCTGAGGCCCTGCCCCCAAACCCCACCACACGTCACAACTTGAACCACCCTTGTGAGGGATTACAAAACAGGGGGAAGCGTGATGCCGGTGACATGGCGTGTGCCACCTGCGGTCACAAGCATCTTGGAAATTGAGCCTGGGCCCCTGGGCTCCTCTTGGGCTGGTGGTCCCCGCTCTGGGAGATTGTTGCCATATCAATTGTCAAGCGGAGGATATGACTCTCTGGGGAGGGAGGGACAGACATGCAGTCCTAATAGGGAGGAGTGTCTGGGGACCAGGGACAAGCACAGAAGGGGACGCACACGCCCCTCTGTCCTGTTATTCAGGACACAGGCTGTCCAGGAGATTGAGGATGGGGGAGTCACCACCACCAAAAGACAACAATGCGATTTAACAAAGGGAGGTGATAATGACAGGTTTGTGCCTAATAAACTCAAATGATGGCCCTAACAGCCAACTCAGCAGCCATATAGCCCTCATTAAAATGACACGGACGTCAAGGCTGAAGTCTTTGGTGTTTGCAGTCTTTGCCGTTTGCAGTCTTTAGCATTACAGTTAAGGTCATAGATTTAGTATTTACTGTTGACCTGTAGTGAGCTCTAGACAGGCTGGGGCAGGGAATCTCAGTCTTCTTGAAGGAGGGCTAATCTCTGAGAGGAGGAAGAGATGGGGGAGACTGGGTGAGGAGGAGCGAGGAGGGACAGCTGGTGTCTGCCCAGAGGATCGCCAGGCGTATTATAGGGATTTAGGGGCTAGGAGCAGAGTTGGGACACTTGGGGGGGAAGGGGGGGTTGGTCTGTATGAGATCGTGAGAGGCTGAAAGAGATCCTCTAGGGGGGAAGTGGGAAAGGGAAAAGTACAGTTGCCTGTGAGGGCCACATTTATCTAACATTACTGTATGGACAATGGTGACCACTGTAGGACACGTTTCAATTTGTCATACTACTCTCTATAGTAGTATGATATATGCAACTTATTTACTAATATAATTAGCATATTATGCTTTACGTGTTGGAGGTTCAGTCTAAAATACCAATCATACTCAATGGAAGTTACAGTAACATTTGTCATGTGTCCTTACCTGCCAGTCTGCTGTTGACGTGGTTATGGTGGGACCAGAGCCACAGCACGGCGGAGGACAGTGTCCTCACATGGGACATGCTCTCCTTGGCCATGTTCTCAAAGTGTGTGGCACACTCCCGACAGCCAAAGAAACTGTGGATGTATGACCTCATCACCTGGAGCACCTCCTGGGGGTCTGGGGAGAACAACGCACAGGAGGAGGAAGTCATCAACAAGATGAACCATACTTGTTATACACATCAGTGTGACGTGTACTGTTGAAAAGTAGGCCGTAATATTGTACATTTGAAAATCACAGCAAGTAATGTCTATCTATTGTTTCGTATACATTTAGTATGGGCTATGGACATATGGGTTTGACACAATGTAAAAAGGTGCAACGGTCCCTTAAAATGTTTTGCCAATTATTATGAAAGGCTAAAAACATCAAAACATGGACAATGGACATGGATAGAGAGGGCTTTTTCAGTATTAAACTATTAGTGGTTAATAACAGGGCAATAAGGGCATGCATCTTGAGTCCGCTGGGCATTCCCACGGTGCTCTGATGTGTTCCATGAATAACAGTATTTAGTCAATGTGCTCTGAAAAACAACCAGGTTGGCAGATGTCACCATCAGTACCAGCACCGTACCAGTGGCGAAATTTCTGCTGCAGGTTTTTGTTGTGTTTAATACCCTACAGTAAAGCCTTATTTTGCCCTCAGATGAGCCGTGGTGGTAGGGTGGAGGCCTAATCCAGAGGTCCATCCGCAGGGGGCCAGATGGACACCCCTGGTCCCCTGCTGGCCCATCTGCAGGTTATGTGCCCCCTCTCCACCCCATCCCATAAGCCCTGGTATTAAGCCCTCCAGGAGAGGAGTGCTGGTCAGCTGCCTCTTATTAACTACTCAAATTCCACTAATCTAAAGAAATCCCTTTTTACCCACCCACAATTAGGGACTGTTTCAGATGGTGGTGTGTCAAGAAAACAGAACAATAACAAAATAACAGAGCTTTGTATAGGCTACTCACGGAATTTGACACTGAAGTAAGTGTTTGAGTGGTTGTGGGACTGTCTAAATGTTGTCTAAAAGTCTAAGTGTGTGCAGTTACATATGGTCAATGCAAAACATTCCTCTAAACATTCCAGGCTAATTTGTTCACAAAGCACTTGTCCCCGGTTGGTCACCCCCCACCCTGCCCTACCTGGCCCATATCCCTGTATGAAAGCAGCAGCCCCTGTGTGAATGCTGTTCACTCTTCTGACTGGCTCAATGACCTGGAGGGATCTGTCCCCAGAGAGCCATAGGGGTTCTAACAGACTGGAAACACTTGTGTCATGGTTCATCGCCTGGGCACACACTCACTCCTCCAAGACTGAATGGCTGCTGACTTCTGGCCAATTTTCTAGGAGGCGACGGGCTCTACAGGCCGCATCAACAGGCCAACATGGCAGGAGGGCTTGTTTTAGCTTCTAGCTACATCCATTTTCCACTTATTACCATTGTCCCAGGAACATTCCTATTGAATTAACGGAAGTTTAGTGATAGTATAATCATAAAGACGTAAACAGCTGGTGTTTAGTGAGTTTTTCCTACCTTTGCCAGCAGCTTCCTCGGCTTGTACAGTGAGGACATGGAAAAGGGTCCACATGCCACAGGGGAACCCTCTGAAGTGGGGCTTGGAGCCCTGGCAGCCCACCCACCGCACCCCCTCAGGCAGCGCAGCATCAGGTACCTGATCACACACAAACGCACACATTAACAAGCATTTACAAGAATTTCGCTACACCCGCAATAACATCTGCTAAATATGTGTATGTGACCAATAAAATGTGATTTGAAAATGTGATGATTTATTTTACTTTAAAAAATTTCTAGATAGGGCCACATTGATCAATCTTCTCATAGAGCAGGTTACAAGGAAACAGCTTTATCTGAGGATTCTTAATAGAGGTTCGTTTACATTAATGAAAACAGGCCCAGTAAGTACATGGAAAATACATCTATGATCTATTTTATTGCAACATTTCATGTTAAGTGGGAGAACGTTCTGTGCCATACAATTCTCATTCTATATCAATTTTGATTCCAGGTTAATGGAAACACCTCAACAGAGTGGTGAGATTGTGTTCAGGTCAAGGAAAGGAAACACTGGTGAAACATGCTGATCAAACAGCATATTGTCTTTTTGTCCCTGCCACTGCCCATGATAGCAGTTTGTGATTAACAGAATTACTCCAAAGTCGATAGTAAAGATTCGGTGTGTGTATACTGTTCGACACCAGTCCATTTCTTAGAGGAGCTGGTTCATACCTCTTCATTGATTCATTGATTCAGCTGCTAAAAGCTAATGATTTCACTAAGTGACTGGTCCAATTGGTGAACCTATAGGCATGTAGGCTTTCATCCAAAGTCAATATCACATACATTTTCCAGTTATACATATGCTGGCACAAGGCTGTGAGCAAAGATTAATATCGAGACATATAAACCTACTTCCCTGTGTGTTGATATTCTATGCCTGCAACATTTCAGCTATCATCTATAAAATCACTTGACTCTGGCTCATCAACAATATGGTGAGTGGTTCTGCCTCAGGCTTGTCTGATTGGCTGGTGGCTGTGGGCTGACCCCTCACCTCTGCAGTGTTGTCCAGAGCATCCCTCAGAGAGCTGTAGGAGAGCTCTGTGTCCTTCTGACCCTTCAGCCACGTGTCCACTGACTTCAGCAGGTTCTTCACCACAGGACGACCAGGGAAGTACTGCCCAAGACAACATTACAGATAAATATCATCATCATTAACTCTCCTCGTATTTCATACAATAGACTCTTAAACAGTATATTTTTTACTGTGTGATAATAGATTATTATCACTAGGAGTTGGAAATCCATCTGTTATGACATCTGTCTGAGGGTAGAAATTTCACCTAAACCCGCTTTTGCAGTACTTAACGTGTAATGTTGTTTCCCTTAATTTAGTAAAAACGACAGTGAATAAGTCACTGGAGGATTTGTCATGATTGTCTCTTCTACTGTTTGTTTCCATTCTCTAACCTCTGTAGTTGTCAATAAGTAGGTTGAATTAGGTTGACATTTTGGGCAAAAGGGCAAACTCAGCTCCATCATTCATTGAATCAGACAGCTCATTCATCACAAAACCCACTGATATTGCCAACTACTTTAATGATTTTTTTATTGGCAAGACTAGCAAACTTAGGCATGATATGCCAGTAACAAACGCCGACACTACACATCCAAGTATAACTGACCAAATTATGAAAGACAAGCGTTGTAATTTTGAATTCCGCAAAGTGAGTGTGGAAGAGGTGAAAAAGTTATTGCTGTCTATCAACAATGACAAGCCACCGGGGTCTGACAACTTTGATGGAAAATTACTGAGGACAATAGTGGACAATACTGCCACTCATATTTGCCATATCTTCGATTTAAGCCTACTAGAAAGTGTGTGCCCTCAGGCCTGGAGGGAAGCAAAAGTCATTCCGCTACCTAAGAATAGTAAAGCCCCATTTACTGGCTCAAATAGCCGACCAATCAGCCTGTTACCAACCCATAGTAAACTTTTGGGGAAAAACTGTGTTTGACCAGATACAATGCTATTTTACTGTAAACAAATTGACAACAGACTTTCAGCACGCTTAAAGAGAAGGACATTCAACAAGCACAGCACTTACACAAATGACTGATGATTGGCTGAGAGAAATTGATGATAAAAAAGATTGTGGGGGCTGTTTTGACTTCAGTGCAGCTTTTGAAATTATTGATCATAGTCAGCTGCTGGAAAAATGTGTGTTATGGCTTTACACCCCCTGCTATATTATGGATAAAGAGTTACCTGTCTAACAGAACAGCCTCGTCAACATAATCCAGGTAGAATCAGGAATTCCCCAGGGCAGCGGTCTAGGCCCCTTACTTTTTTCAATCTTTACTAACAACATGCCACTGGCTTTGAGTAAAGCCAGTGTGTGTCTTGTATGCGGATGACTCAACACTATACACGTCAGCTACTACAGTGACTGAAATGACTGCAACACTTAACAATGAGCTGCAGTTAGTTTCAGAATGGGTGGCATGGAATAAATTAGTAATACATATTTAAAAACTAAAAGCATTTCATTTGTTACAAATCATTCACTAAACCCTAAACCTCAACTAAATCTTGAAATGAATAATGTGGAAATTGAGCAAGTTGAGGTGACTAAACTGCTTGGAGTAACCCTGGATTGTAAACTGTCATGGTCAAAACATGTTGATACAACAGTAGCTAAGATGGGGAGAAGTCTTTCCATAATAAAGTGCTGCTCTGCCTTCTTAACAACACTATCAACAAGGCAGGTTCTACAGGCCCTTGTTTTGTTGCACCTGGACTACTGTTCAGTCGTGTGGTCAGGTGCCACAAAGAGGGACTTTTAAAATTGGTTCAGAACAGGGCAGCATGGCTGGCCCTTAAATCTACACAGAGAGCTAACATTAATGATATGCATGTCAACCTCTCATGGCTCAAACTGGAGGAGAGATTGACATTATCACAACTTGTTTTTGTAAGAAGTGTTGACAAGCTGAATGCACCGGACACCCATGCATACCCCACAAGAAATGCCACCAGAGGTCTCTTAACAATCCCCAAGTCCATAACAGACTATGGGAGGTGCACAGTACTACATAGAGCCATGACTACATGGAACTCTATTCCACATCAGGTAACTGATGCAAACAGTAGAATCAGATTTAAAAAACAGATAAAAATACACCTTATGGAAGTGGGGAATGTGAAGAGACACACACAGGTACAGACACATGCATACGCACACAAACACTAGCACACACACACACGTACATTGTAATATTGTTGTATGGTGGTATTATACATTTTGTATTGTAGATGTGTAGTGGTGTAATAATGTTATATAATGTACTGTTTTATATTTTGTTTTATGTGTAATGTAAGTACCTTAATGTGTTTGGACCCCAGGAAGGGTAGCTGCTGCCTTGGCAGCAGCTAATGGAGATCCCTAATAAATACAAATACAAAGACAACATGGCGTGTGTGGAAATATGACACTGCAACTAACAGTGGGCCGCTATGGGAGGCAAGGAGCAAATCCCAGTGCCTTGTGTTTGAGATGGGTGGTGACAGGAGAGTGTCAGCTGAAGACAGGGAGAACAAGCTGATTGGAGGTGTAACAACAGAACAAGCTGATTGGAGGTGTAAAGGCACTTCCTATCCTTAAAAGAACCCTTACAACAGCCACCCTGGAAGACCCACCATTATACTGCTATGATGACTAGTAATGACTAGATTCTACAGGTCGGCCTGGATTTAACACTAATGACTGAGAGACGACCAAATAAACAGTAGGCTGTCATGGCAACCTTCTCCCATTCAAAACAGAGAGGTAAGATGTCTCAGTCACGATGGACTATTTAAGTTCATTTAAGCATTTTCTGGCATTGAGTCATGGCGAAACTGTGACTATTTATGAGGAGCCTGTAGATAACAATCAAATCAGATGCACACACACATGCGCAGGCATGTATGCACGCACACACCCGCAAGAAACAGTCAGTGTAGTAAGATCCAGCAGTGTGAATATGGTGGACCTGGAAGTGGGCCAAGTGCTGCCCTTTTGGGGCACAAACCCATCAGTACGACACAGAGGCAGGAGGGGCCTGGCCCAGCCCGGCCGGTGGGACAGCATCCCAGAGGTGCACCTTTTTGATTTGTGCTGCGGAGTCTTTTCAATTTGCCCTGGCCATCTGTTCAGCAGCGTTTGGGTGCCTCGCTCATGGTTCTATTCATCACTCTCTAACTGGATCTCCATTACACCAGACCCATTTAAAAAGGCTCCTGGAGATTTACTTAACCCCTGTGCCCCACACAGCCCCATACAGGGTTTGACTTGCTCCCTTAATCTGAGACATTCAGCCAAAAAAGATGGTGTTTGGGTATTTACAGACACAGATACCCAATCCCCTACTACAGGTGGGGTGTTAACAAGATACAAAGTGGTCCCCCGGCTGCTGCTGAGGAGGACAATTGGTTTATCGTCCGGGCGGCCGAGAAGCCTAGGTCTGGGGACTACTGAGCACTAACCAGGCTGAAAAGCTCATTAACACACATTTGAATTTAACAGTGAGGAAATTGGGGACGGGCAGGCAAATGGGCTCTGCTCACCAGAGCTAAACACTTAGCATGTTCTGCTCTCTGCCAGCGCATCTATTTCCCAAATCATAAGCAAAGGCCAATATATATGGCTGGGAAATTAGTAGTACTTTAGTCTGAAGTATTTGCAGACGTCACTGATGCGCAAACATGAACATATCAAGTGTGATGAATCAATGCTACAGTATACTGTATCCCCATCATGAAGGAACTCTGAGTGACCTCTTCTCTGGTAGCGTACCTCTAACCACTATCAGAGCCCCCACCTGACCCCCCAACCTAACCCCCTGCCCCTCCCCCAGCCTCTCAGAGGACCATGACAATCCACTTCACCCGGTAATATGTCATCTTAAATCCGATTAGTATCAGCACTTGAGAAACCGCAGTTTCCTCAGAGAGACGTTCAAAAGAGAATGCATCTGTCGGCCTTGCCCGGGGAAGCCCTTTTTAATCCTGCCTCATTCAACCTCAGGGACCAATATACATGCCACTGAGTAAAAGCTGCCTAACTGCTCCCCTGCTCCCACTGCAGGCAGCAGCCGAGTGGACCTATCTGTCATGCCCACAGCCCAGCCACAACCCGACAAACAAAGGCCATTGTCCTACTGGTGGAGTCCAGAGGTTGGTGGGCTGCCTATACAGTATCACCGAGGCCAAGCAGTTGCCACAGCCACATTCCACCACCATGCACCTCCGCTAACTGCTAACCTTAGCATGGGCACACTGAGCCACGCGCCACGGGAGAGAGATGGATTTGGGCTCAAGTGCCCCCCTAAATCCTTGTTTTATTCCCTGGCCCTCCCTCCCTTGCTGCTGGAGGCTTCTTTCAAGAAAGCAGGATAGAAACAGACATCCTAAAAACCTCTTTGTAATGCTCTCATGCTTCCCAGATCCACTTTTTTAAATCCTCATATACATGTAGGGATTCATAAATCTGGATTCTGGTTGACAAGACAGTAAATCTAGTAATATTACGGCGCAGGAAAATATAACTTGTTTACGTCCTGTCTGGGACAGAGATGCATTGTGATGTGGGAGCACACAGCACACCACAGAATCTATTGACAGCGGAGTGTGTCAGGAGTGTGTCATCGGTATGACACCAGCTGTAGGTTCTGTGCACAGTGACTCATTCTCAGGATGATCCAATTACACCAGTCAGTCACTCTGGAAGTTTAAGAATCGTATTTTGCTGTGACATGCCGTGCGTGTTCTCTAGTAGACGGGTAAACAGTAGACGGGTGAACAGTGCTGTGCGGTCCGCCATTTGGTCATAATAACGGTTGAGGGGATACGAGAGAGTGAGCATGAACACAGACCATGGTTATATACACATGGCTCACTTGTCTGTATTGGTCCAAACCAGCCCTAAGACATGTTGAATACAACCCCTTTGTTGAGGCAACGGTCTGACAAACGTCAATAAATACTGCTGCAAAGCCTGCTTTCTCTGCTACAGATTCAGCAAGGACATTGTGGTGGGGCACTGACAGAAATACCACAGGGAGTTTAAGGTATTGACAAAACAAACTGGAGTTAATGGGGGGCTGGAGTAAAACCCTCCCACCGTCCCTTCAACCCCTCCCTAGAGAGTCTGAAATAAATCACAGAGATATGTGGTGGAGAGGCTGCCTGATGCACAGCCAATAAGAGCCTGACTGGGGAGGTCAATGTCTTGGAATCCCTGCCACAATTCTGGGTAGGATAGAGCTGGGAGGGGAGGGGAGGGGTTGGGGCAGGGGGACCCAGCTCTAGGAAATCCTAATCAGGGTATGTCTGCATTCAAGAAAGAGGTGGGGAACCAATGGGAAGCAAATAAAGTATTTCCCCAAGAGAGCCTTTTGAGTCCTGACAAGTCAATGGCCTCCAATTTTGGCCTCACCATTGACATGCTTATTTTCGTTAATAAGCATGTAAAAACTACGTAATAGTGTAGTTATTGTACACTTACCGGTATAACATTAAGAATTTTGAACCAAGTAACATCAGCACTATAATTCAATTTGGTGAATTATATGGACCATATTGTCATAAATAAAGTACCAGTCAAAAGTTTGACACACAAACTCATTCAAGGGTTTTTCTTTATTTTTACATTGTAGAATAATAGTGATGACATCAAAACTATGAAATAACACATATGGAATCATGTAGTAACCAAAAAAGTGTTAATCAAATTTAAATATATTTTATATTTGAGATTCTTCAAATAGCCACCCTTTGCCTTGATGACAGCTTTGCACACTCTTGGCATTCTCTCAACCAGCTTCACCTGGAATGCTTTTCCAACAGTCTTGAAGGAGTTCCCACATATGCTGAGCACTTGTTGGCTGCTTTTCCTTCATTCTGCCGTCCGACTCATCCCAAACCATCTCAATTGGGTTAAGGTCGGGGGATTGTGGAGGCCAGGTCATCTGATGCAGCACTCCATCACTCTCCTTCTTGATCAAATAGCCCTTACACAGCCTGGAGGTGTGTTGGGTCATTGTCCTGTTGAAAAACAAATGATAGTCCCACTAAGCCCAAACCAGATGTGATGGTGTATCGCTGCAGAATGCTGTGGTAGCCATGCTGGTTAAGTGTGCCTTGAATTCTAAATAATCACAGACAGTGTAACCAGCAAAGCACCCCCACACCATAACACCTCCACCACCACCTCCATGCTTCACGGTGGGAACTACACATGCGGGAGATCATCCGTTCACCCACACTGCATCTCACAAAGACACAACTGTTTGAACCAAAAATCTCCAATTTGGACTCCAGACCAAAGGACAAATTTCCACTGGTCTAATGTCCTTTGCTCGTGTTTCTTGGCCCAAGCAGGTCTCTTCTTATTGGTGTCCTTTAGTAGTGGTTTCTTTGCAGCAATTCGACCATGAAGTCCTGATTCACGCAGTCTCCTCTGAACAGTTGATGTTGAGATGTGTCTGTTACTTGAACTCTGTGAAGCATTTATTTGGGCTGCAATTTCTGAGGCTGGTAACTCTAATGAACTTATCCTCTGCAACAGAGGTAACTATGGGTCTTCCATTCCTGTGGCGGTCTTCATGAGAGCCAGTTTCATCATAGCGCTTGATGGTTTTTGCGACTGCACTTGAAGAAACTTTCAAAGTTCTTTAACTTTTCCGGATTCACTGACTGTCAATTCTCTTTGCTTATTTGAGCTGTTCTTGCCATAATATGGACTTGGTCTTTTACCAAATAGGGCTATCTTCTGTATACCACCCCTACCTTGTAACAACACAACGGATTAGCTCAAATGCATTAAGAGTGAAATAAATTCCACAAATTAACTTTTAAGAAGGCACACCTGTTCATTGAAATGCATTCCAGGTGACTACCTCATGAAGCTGGTTGAGAGAATGCCAAGAGTGTGCAAAGCTGTCATCAAGGCAAAGGGTGGCTATTTGAAGAATCTCAAATATATTTTGATTTGTTTAACACTTTTTTGGTTACTACATGATTCCATATGTGTTATTTCATAGTTTTAATGTCTTCACTATTATTCTACAATGTAGAAAATAGTAAAAAATAAAGAAAAACCCTTGAATGAGTAGGTGTGTCCAAACTTTTGACTGGTAGTGTATATATTTTTAAAGTAAAGCTGAATTAGAACTAATTATGCAGCTAAATCGTTTAGAAGGCCTCTGTTTCACAACTGATATAACAACTCCCAAATACTGTCTCCCTCTCCCTCTAGTGGTATGTCATCATAACTGCATAGCCATGACAACAGCTGATATGAACAGAGAGAGGATGAATGGGTGCGGTTAGTGTTCAGTATGGGTATGGTTTAGTTTCAGTGTGAGCAGCAAACCTGTCCACTCACCTTCGCTAGTACTGAGATGTAGCGTTGTAGTGTGCTCAGAGCCTCTCCTTTGATGACAGGGTGAGCTGCCAGCTCCACGCGCAGAGAGTAGTGCAGAGTAGACTCCAGGTCTGCCATATACACACGAGACCTGAGGACACACAGAATTCAACATTTTTGTCATGGAATCAATGGGGTTACATTGGTAAAGCTTATACCTAAAAATTAGGAATTCCTTTTTCTGGACACTATTACTGCTTTGTCAAGTTAAAATGCTTTACCTGTTGAATGGTCTCAATTGGTCCTCTGTTGTGTTTTTCGCAAGGTCAGAGGTCACTGGCAGTGGCTTTCCGGCCCGCACTACCCCAGGAAGCCTCTGGAGGGCGTAGGAGTAGAAGGTCCGGGCCTCAAGTTGTCTGGAAGACAGCCAAACAGACAGTTAAGTTCACAGGTAGGACTGATGAATTTCCATTGATCTGGCAGCCAGCCACAGGAGGATTTTAACCATGGAAACAGGTGAAAAATCCTTCCCACTAGAATACAAACACAGACCTCACAGTATATTTTATCTACAGTGGAAGAATAAGGTTTTTGGCTTCTCTGTCTAGGAATAGGATACAAGTGGTTGCCTGTGCCAGGGCCTGCCCTCATCAGAACACAGGTGGGCTCCTGGTCTCCTCACTAAGCCCTCATGGCCTCCTCTCTCCTCTGGTGAACAGATGGTGCTGAGATACCATCGCTGATCATTTCCCTCTGTTAACCCTGGCAATGGAACAAAAAGACTGCTACCCATCTCCCTGTTCCTACCAGCCAGCCAAACTACCCTGTGGACCAATGAGAGCAGGAGGATGGTCCAGGCCTGAGCGCGTCCGGCCCACCCCTGCCTGGAACTCAATTACACTAGACTTTCTGGGGCGCTATTCATTGTGGGGTCCCCAGAGCACAGAGGCACGAGTCGGAGGGGGGAGAGGCACGTGTTGGAGGGGGGAGCGAGGGGCCGCGTTCACCTGGGAGAGGCACACGCATGACGGATGTGGGACTCTACCCCCCCCCCCCCCCCCCCCCCCCCCCCCCCGGATCAATCACGCACTCAACTGTGATGGGCGACCATCTGTCGCAGCACAAGGCGAGGTTGGGGTGGTTTGGCAGGTGAACCGCAGGAAAGGAAAGCTATTGTATCCATGCAAGAAATTAAAAACCCCTCTGTACGCCCATGAAGAGGAGGGGGGAATAAATAAATCAGCAATAAATCATTTCCTTTTTTCATTTGTCAACTAAAAAAAGACTCTTCTTGCATGCCAAGTTATGGAAATAAGCAACACAAAGCGAAAGATACAGCAGATTAATTCACGGGGTGAGGAATCATCGTACAAAGTATTATGATATTGAATAATGATAAAAATGAATAATGAATATTTTAATTCCATGATCCCATTAAGAGGCCAGATGTTAAAAGGCATCCTATCATAGCTGTGGATAACACAACTGAAATAAAGCCTTTCACAACAAGATTGTTGAGTATTGAATCGTGAAAATTGAAGAAGAAAAACTCTTGAGTAGGTACATTAGGGTCCAGACTGAGGAAAGCTGAACGTGATCTGCAGTTCTGTCACATATTGTGATGGTATTAGAGCAGCCACTCACACATGGAGCCTGGTGGAGATCCCACTAGGATAGTACAGGTAGCAGGATGGGAAGTCGGTCACACCCAGTTTAGCCACCAGGGCGTCCTCAGTGCTCAGGACCCTCCGCACGGCTATGTTCTCATACTGCAGTAGGTCCAGAGTCACCTGGTGAGGAAGAAAAACCAACACACAGTAATGACCGACTGTCTGTATGTTGTTTAAACTGGTTGTACTAGACACACACGTACACTGTTGACATAGTGACACACTGTTGTTGACACAGTCCCATAGTCAACATAATGTTTGCCTTCTATACAGCAGGGGTAGGCAACTAGATTCAGCCAGGGGACGATTTTTGTCAGAGCGGATGGTCGGGGGGCCCGAACACAATAATTTGTACACTGCAAATTGACCACAACTAAGCCCAAAAAGAGATTGTATTAGAAAATAACAATAATTTTATACCTTGATTACATTGAGACACTCTCACATGTCTCTTTTTTTAATTGTGGGAATACTTGGGAACAGATTTCCTAAATATTTTTTTTTGGAGGGGCTGAATCAAAATTTAGTGGAGCCAAACAAATATCACTGTCTGATGCCAACCCCTGCTATACATGGTCAATATTTACAAGCACACTAAAAACATTTTCTATTTGACCGCCCTCAGGCTTTTTTCTCCTCCATTTCCCTCTGAGGAGCATGTAGCTTGACTGACGCTAATGGATTCTTACCTCTCTGCCCACATATGAGTTAGAGGTCTCAAAGATCAAGGCCAGGTGTTCCACATTGTTAGTCTCAAAGAAGTTGTCAAGCTCTGCTTTGCTGTGGAGAGAGGAGGATAATACATTTTACATAGTGACCACAACATATCACTAATAGCTGACATTTGAAACATCAAGTACATTTCTATTAAGTCTTCATATAAATTGAACAACATCACAATCTGAGCATTGACATGTAACTCACATGACAAGTGGGATAGCGCCTTAAGTTGTTTTCTTCAAAAGAGGAAGACCTCATAATCTAACGCTTTCATTCAGAAAATAGGAATCAACATGTTCTACTTCCTATGTTATCAACCATTATCTTGTAAAGTCCCTGTGATGAATAATGCGAAAAGTAAAGTGTCACTTATGATGGTTTGGAGCAGTGTGTGAGTTTATGTGCTGTGGCACAACCCAATAGACACCCTCATTTATCCATGAAAACCTTAAAACCAAGGGTGGTATTGTCACAATATGAATGGAAGTCATGATGGGCTAGGCCCTAGAGGTAGTGGTTGTGTGTGTGAGCTCTAGGGTGGTTGTGTGTGTGAGCTCTAGGGTGGTTGTGTGTGTGAGCTCTAGGGTGGTTGTGTGTGTGAGCTCTAGGGTGGTTGTGTGTGTGAGCTCTAGGGTGGTTGTGTGTGTGAGCTCTAGGGTGGTTGTGTGTGTGAGCTCTAGGGTGTTCGTGTGATCAGAAGAGGCTGCCTCCCTTGTGTGTTTGTTTAAAAAAAAAAAAAGGAGAGGCTGCCTCACCTAGCTGTCTCCAGAGGGGGGCAGGCAGGGGGCCACGGCTCCTCATGGGTCTCCATCTTATCGATGATCTTATGGCGTAAACCACTCACATCACGAGAAAATCCTGGGAGGATTCAGGCACACAGGATTAATAAGTGAACATGTAGAAAAACACAGTTCAAAACTTCTCATACTAGCCATTCATATCATCACCATCTGCCCCAGGAATTATCTAAACATTTGCATTACCTCTGAAACCTTCTCCCTTGGAGTCAGGTTTGGAGTAAGCGTGGAAGAACTGTCAGAGGGAGAGAGAGTAAGAGGATCAGATATCAGGTCGCCACATGTTGACCACTGGGAGGAATAGGTGACACCCCTACCCCCTTAAAACACCTTCCTACTTTAAATCACCTGCAGATGTTGCAGCTCCCTCATTAATTTAGACAAATTATCTCTTTCATTTGACTTTCACCGGACGACAGCAAGAAGAACTCAGAGATTTATTGCCGACTAATCTAAAGTGAGTGTATTGCTAACTGAAATGTAACTGTTAGGGGTTATGAGTTTTTGTATGGTAAAGTTTTAGTGTCAAAATAGCTGATAATGACTCACAATCATTTTTTAACATTGGATACATTGGTTCCTGTGAGATAAGACACTGAAAATCCATAAGGCTGGTGGAATATAACAATTGAAGTACCTTCAGTGTTGGGTACCCCCTGACACCAAAACGGGAACAAATCGGGCCATTATCTTGATTAGCACAGTCTATGGCAGCTAAATCCACAGCCGGTTTCCATTCTAGGAAGAGACATTATAATTAGTGTCAAACTCAATGCACAACTACATACGATACAGGTTATATGCAGGAAAACAGCTTTTGATTTTAGTACCAAATATTCCTCTGATTATTACAACTCCTAAGCATATACAATTATTCCGTATGATCAACTGGAAAGCAGGCCAGAGGCTGGTGGCTTCTCTCTAGATCTGAGGCTTTAAAACCTGCCTCATAGTTTGGGCCTGCTGCCAATAGGAAACTATGTCAATTTCAAACTAATTGCATGGGATTATTTTCTTGTTACACAGTTAATTGGATCCCGCTTATAGACTGAGGCCTGAAATGCCTAAATGTATTCTAATTTGGGATTCCAAAGGATGGTGCTTGAACAAGAGTAGCTATGAGATGGACAGAATGTGAATTCCTAAATCACATCATATGCTCCAATAATCAAATGTAAAGGCTGCCTTCTGGGAGGGGAGGAGGAGGGGGAGGGCTGAGATACTGGCTGTCCTGAACTCTGGAAAACAACAAGGTCAGAATCACACTGCTTTTTTCTCGTAATTTACATGTTAAAGTGGAATAATACAGGAATATAAAATAAAACAATTGTTAATAATTGTTTTATTTAAAAAGTCTAGAAATCATTTTTAAAAGTCTGCATAGGCTAATACATTTTGGTTTTATAAATTGGATACTACACACTGCCTCAATTTGCACTGCAGTTTGATGGGCATATAAAACATGAATACATACAGTGCATTCGGAAAGTATTCAGACCCCTTGACCTTTTCCACATTTTGTTACGTTACAGCCTTATTCTAAAATGGATAAAATTGTTTTTTCCCCCTCATCAATCTACACACAATACCCCATAATGACAATGCAAAAACTGGTTTTTATAAATTTTTGCAAATTTATAAAAAATAAAAGAGCTGAACTATCACATTTACATAAGTAGTCAGACCTTTTAGTCAGTACTTTGTTGAAGCACCTTTGGCAGCGATTACAGCCTCAAGTCTTCTTGAGTATGATGCTACAAGCTTGGCACACTTGTATTTGGGGAGTTTCTCCCATTCTTCTCTGCAGATCCTCTGAAGCTGCAGATCCTCTGAAGCTGTCAGGTTGGATGGGGCGCGTCGTTGCACAGCTATTTTCAGGTCTCTCCAGAGATGTTTGATCGGGTTCAAATCCGGGCTCTGGCTGGGCCACTCAATGACATTCAGAGACTTGTCCCGAAGCCACTCCTGCATTGTCTTGGCTGTGTGCTTAGGATCGTTGTCCTGTTGGAAGGTGAACCGTCACCCCAGTCTGAGGTTCTGAGCGCTCTGGAGCAGATTTTCATCAAGGATCTCTCTCTCTGTACTTTGCTCTGTTCATCTTTCCCTCAACGCTGACTAGTGTCCCAGTCCATGCCGCTGAAAAACATCCCCACAGCATGATGCTGTGACCACCATGCTTCACTGTAGGGATGGTGCCATGTTTCCTCCAGACGTGACGCTTGGCATTCAGGCAAAAGAGTTCAATCTTGGTTTCATCAGACCAGAGAATCTTGTTTCTCATGGTCTGAGAGTCCTTTAGGTGCCTTTTGGCAAACTCCAAGCGGGCTGTCATGTGCCTTTTACTGAGGAGTGGCTTCCGTCTGGCCACTCTACCATAAAGGCCTGATTGGTGGAGTGTTGCAGAGATGGATGTCCTTCTGGAAAGTTCTCCCATCTCCAGAGAAACTCTGGAGCTCTGTCAGAGTGACCATCGGGTTCTTGGTAACCTCCCTGACCAAGGCCCTTCTCCCTCGATTGCTCAGTTTGGACGGGCGGCCAGCTCTAGGAAGAGTCTTGGAGGTTCCAAACTTCTTCCATTTAATAACGATGGAGGCCACGGTGTTCTTGAGGGCCTTCAATGCTGCAAAACATTTTTGGTACCCTTCAGGTGGACTCCAATCAAGTTGTAGAAACATCTCAAGGATGATCAATGGAAACAGGTTGAACCTGAGATCAATTTCGAGTCTCATAGCAAGGGTCTGAATATTTATGTAAATAAGGTATTTCTGTTTTTATTTATTATACATTTGCAAAAATTTCGAAAACCCGTTTTCACTTTGTCATTATGGGGTATTGTGTGTAGATTGATGAGGGAAAAAAGTAATTTAATCAATTTTAGAATAAGTCTGTAAACGTAACAAAATGTGGAAAAAGGGGATGGGTCTGAATACTTCCAGAATGCACTGTATGTGGAAAATGAAGACAAATGTATGTTGCAAGAGAGAACATTTTAATTTGTTTAACCCATGACTTGTACATGTCACACACGACCAGTCAATTATGATTGGTTTATTAACAACAACCCGTTCATTTATGAATGGGCTTTCAGTTTCTATAATCAAATTCATTAAAATGTGGTCATTTAAGATACATGTCAAATTATATTCGTATTCGGGGCTAAATGTACTTCTACCTGATGCCTTTCATGAAGGTTTTCGATTGCGTTTTTCTCTTCGTAATCGAAACCTTCATAAAAGGCATTGGGTAAAAGTAAACGAATACACGAATACGAATATAATTGTACATCTTAAATGACTAAATATTTATGAGTATGATGATATAAGCTTGAAGCCTATTCAAAAACAATACGAGCCGTTAACCAGGAAGTAGGCGAGACTTTCATAGGGCAAAACATTCTATATTATATTACGGGAAAATGCACACCAACCTTTAATATCTCTTGCGAGACTTTTCCATACGGGAGAAAATGCAATACAATGCCCGCACCAAGAGGCGTAAAACTCAACCACCTGTGCGGCCGTAGAATTCACCAAAACGCTGTCTACATTATCCGGGGTTAAAACGACTACCTGATCAGAAGCGGTGTACAAGCCAGCTTCGGTGGTAAAAGGAAAAAGTAAACACACAAATAAGAACATCGTAGATATGAATGACTCTCTCAAATTTGCGTGTATTTTCCCTGTAAACCGACATGTTGCACCGCAGCAGCGCCACGCCATCTTCGTGTGTTTTTCTGACAGCCAGCAGCTCCGAGCAAGGCAACCACTGTATTAGAAAGTTATAAAAACTTTTTTCACTCGTCCAATTCCCTCCCCCAACCTCTGACCGCCGAAGAATCAGGGCTACATTCATAAACTAGGACGGAGGTGATATTGTTCCATATTAATGGATTGGAGAGTTTTGTTGATGGGAGTTCATGTATCCATATGTGAGAATACTTGTGTCTATGTATTTGAGAGTGGTTACATTTCTCCCCATTACTCAGCTGTTTACAAAATAAAGTGGCAGGGACCCCGCTTTGTTATTGTTGGAATCACAGATGGCCCCTTTAAAAGGGGTTAGCCTGCAGGACTATTCAATGTCCATTATCCAGATTTACTATCTGATAATTGTGACTTAAATATCTCATAATGACTTCTCATAATTATGACTTAGTAAGTCATAATAATGAGATACTACCTCATAACAACTTAGTTCTCAATTATGACTTAGTAATTCATAATTATGAGATAATGATATACTATCTCATTATTATGAATTTACTATCTCACAATTGTGACTTAGTATCTCAAAATAATGACATCTCATAATTATGATTTACTACCTCATGATAATGACTTACTATTTCATAACTCGTAGTCAGACTTCCAAATGCTATTGTACATAAAAAAAACATTGTGACTTGGTGTGGGGTATGACTCTGCCTATTGGGAAGTTCAAGGTGTAACAGCACACAGTGAGGATGTCCTGCAGCTTTGTTTATAATAATACACTTAGGAAAATCACTCAAACAGCTGAAAGGCAAGCCACATTTGGCAAACCACACTTGTGGCACTGAGCTCCAAAATTGCAAGTGTTTTTTTTGGCAGGTAATACAACATGTAAGATGTGGAAATAATGAAAGCTTTATTTACAATTTCAAAGTTCAATTTAGTTAACAAATATATATGTATACTATATACATATCCGCAAAGTGAACAATGTTTATTTTACAATAATCTTCTAGGTTCAATAGTGATTAAGATCCAACAGGAGACTGTGAATATACAAGAACACCCCATAAAACACTGTACAAGTCTTCAAGTGCACCTGTGTCTCTCACAGTAGTACATTATAAATATTCATACACTTTAAAGATGCAAAAAGATTTTGCTAGTCTACACCTAATTTGATTATCGAACCATTTTTGCCTAATATACATTTTTGTTTTGGAGTTGAAATCCCTGTCCTCATAGCAAGGGAACCCTGAAGAAGGCACTGCGTGCCGAAACGTTGGTTGTTATTCCCATTAAATGTTTGGGAGCACAATTAGTGTGCAACTTTTTATTTTTATCGTTTACTCTCCATTAGTCAGCACGTCTATAAAACATTTTTTGGTGTGCCTCAGCTTATGCCTTTCACAGCAAGGGCTAACACAATCCTACAGACAGACAGCAGTTCGAAAACTGCCTGGAGGCATTTTGACCGTCCTATGGGAGGTCCAAAGAACGTCATTGTTATTCAATGAGACTACAAAGCTGGCTTGTAAAACAATGTATCCAACCAACAAATACTGCATAGATATAAATGGGACATTCCATCCCCAAGCTACAATCAATTCAGATTTTTTTTGACCATTCTAGACCACCAGGGATTAACACTAAAGTCTGAAAGGCACTTGCCCATTGGGCAAGTCAGGAGTATTTTTTGGTTGCCCGAAGATTATGATCACTTCCCAGAAAATGTAAATGAGCTATTTCGTTTTATTACACTCAGAAGTGCCATATTGCCTGCCTTTCACCTACACATATGGGAGGAACCAGAAAGATCAGTTTTAGGCTTATGAAATTCTTTGCAGTTTGGTTGCCCCCCCAATAAAAAAAAAAGAACACCTGCCCAATGGGGCAACCTCAGAGCAGGCTCAACTTGCGCAACTGCCCAGTTCCCTTGCCCCAGGTAAGAGGGCATCCCTTAATGTCAATCCATTGGGAGGTGTTGCAATACACAGCCTTGTGGAAATGCATGTTCCTATGTACTAATCACATCACTGTTTTCTCATTACACACAGCTAGGGACTGGAAAACGAGGCATATCATGGATAAACAGATAAAGGAAAATGTACAGTCAGAGGTCTAGCAATAGACAGTTAACAGTTTAAATATCTACCCCTTCGTCCAGTAAAAGAACAGTGGTGGTAAATGCTAATTGGTATACAAACTTTCATTACCACCATTAAAGTCACTTCGCTAACAGACATTACAGTTGACAAGCATAGTCATGCATGTTAAATTCATCTGTAGCTACATCACAGTATCCTTGGACTGAAGTAGCTAATAAAGAGTAAGCCCTTGAACATCGATGTTGAATGCTACGACCCACAGTTTAATCCATGACTCACACTTGTTACCATGATGCAAAAGCCACTGTTTACGTGACGAATGGCGAGAACACTTGGTTGCATTACAGTATATCAGATGTGCTTCATCAGTGACGCCCAGAGGCATAACGACACAGAAGCTAGTTTATCTACCTACCATAAATGGCATTTGAGTCACTAATTCAGAACCATTAGAAATGCAATACAGACAGGCTGTGAGTAAAAGGCAAATGGGGGATTTCAAGAAGGTGTTCTCTGATAGAACTATGCTTAGGTAGACACAGAATAAGGCAGAGACTGAAGGTTTACCCAGTTGGGAAAAAGAGTTGTCCTTTAGGTATTTATGAAAAACATGGTATATATGTAAATAACATTCAAAGAAAGGAGGTCCATAAGAGTAGAGACATCACTTAAGGCCTGTAAATTGTGTTGCTCTTCTTGAGTGAGGCAATTCATAATCATACAAACAAAAGAGCCACTTTAACTGAAACAGGTAAAAGGCTAATCTTAAGGCTTGAATCCAGCACAACAGAATTAAAGGTTTCTAAACTAACCGTGTAGAACCTCTTGGTATCTGTTTTCGTAGTCAAGAGGCTAGTTAACAGGCAAAACTATGGAAGAAAAGGGACAGTGTTCAAATCCATCAATTACTAATATTAAGATATTTAAATATTAAATACAAATGGGTATCTTTGCATTTCTTTTCAACAACATTCCCTTTAAATCCCTATACAATGAATTGCCATTTTCACATTCCCATTTCTTTTTGTGCTTTGTCTGTTTTACAAAATGCTAAAATAAACTTTGTTTCTAAACATGTTAACAGCAAGATTACTTAATCAAATAGTTCTCACAATAAATATCACAATACAGGAGGCAAAATGTTTATTTTTATACTATATATTTGTTAAAATCTGGTAACCCCAATGACTCTTCCATACTCTATTAATCCTTATCATCCCGTTTGTAGATGACCCAGACTGCTTTTCAATGCCGCTGTCTTTAGCGTCTTGTCTTGTGAAATTACCCCTGTGCTCATCACAAAAACCATGAGTTTGTCATGGAACATTACATTTAGCAGCATTGATGAATTTAATGCAAAACAAGGTCTACTCCATCTTGACTGGCCATGAACAGGGGGGCCAGTGTGGGAGGCTTTAAAGTCTGGATCAAATATGTTTGGTGTAAGATGTGGTAGATCCACAATTAGCTGATCCAAAGCTGTGTAGCAGAGGGGTACCAGTTTGACTGAAGTGAAGGCATCAGGAGATCACTGGCACATTGGCTGTGGGAGGAACTGTCTGGTGGAAGGTGGGTTTAAAACAGAGGTTTAAAAGCTCAGGAAAGGGCTCTTTTTGATCTCTTCTCCTGAATTTGAGAGAGAACTTCTGCTGTGTCCTTTATTAATGCATCAAAGATCCCTTCAGCCAACTGCATCTTGACGTAGAGCTCATCTTCATCATAGTTCACCCACTGAGACTCTTCCTCGTGAAGCTCCTGGACCTAAAAACACACAATACTTACTACCAGAAAATATAGGACTTCTTGAAATTGGAAAATTCACAATGAATCACTCCTGAAGTTTTACTGTTCAATGCCCTTACCAGAATATGATCTACTCGATCCCGTTTTTTCCTCCCGAATTTCAGCATCTTCTGCCAATCTGTTTTCTGGTTGTGGTCTTTCTTCAGGCCATACAGCATCAACACCTCGGTGGTGATGAACACCTTAGAAGACAAGGTTAAATATTACATTGTGATCTTAGCAAATCAAACCACCAACACTGAAGTGTCACTAACATTGGATGCCATACACACCTGAACTCTGGTGATGTCGCCAGGGCTCTTTACTCTATGGAAGTAGGAGGAGTTCATGCGTCGAGGCTTCACCCACTGAGGCTGATGGGCGTTAGGATCCTCTGCAAAGATCTCCTGGATGATCTCCCATGTTAAGTCATATACAGCCTGCAGATAAACAAAGGTAATGTCAGTTGATACATTTCAATAAATGACATGGGTCTTGAGGATTTCGTATAGTATCAATATTTGTGGCAATCCTTTTCCACGTGGCCTTACCTGTCTGTAGCTGCGAACACATTGACCTTCTTGATCCTGGCCTATGGCATCACAGCCCAGGAACTCCTCTGAAGGCTTGAGGATGGGGAGACCAGCGAGGGTCTGTGTGCCCTGGCCCAGTTTAAATCTGTCCCAGATCTCCTGGGTGGCAGCGTGGACCAGCTTCTCCACTTCAGGGGCGGAGTGGGGAACCACCATAGCAGGCTGCTCAGGGAGCTTGGGCTGCAGGGGCAGCTCTGGTCTGGGTGGGGTCTTCACCTGGTCACCAAGGCCTCCAGAGCAAGCAGACAGCCCCTCTTTTTCCTGCTGTTGCCTCTGTTTCTGTCTCTGCTGCTCTCTATGAGAGCTGAGGCCATAGTCCTCATCGAACCAGTCCTGCTCGTCTCCCAGTTCATCCAGTAGTTCGCGGCTCAGCTCCAGCTCAGCCAGACGTTTGGCCAACTCCTCCTGACCACTGGCCCCCAACACTGGACTCTCCTGCAGAAACAGGGAGGGAGGAAAGACAAGTCACTCACAGTGAAAAACCTATAAAAACCTAAGAAAGTTTATGTTAGACTGTGATGAAAATCTACAAAAGGGAAGAAAATAGAGCACCAAATTCAATTGGATATCTGTCAACATAAGCCTCTTGGACCCAGTTGTCGTTTGACCTTCGGACTCAAACAAATCCCATTGAGGCCTTTTGAGGTCAAATCAAGACTGGATGGTTTTCAACAGTGCTGCTAAATGCAATTATTGCTACATTCATCCTCAGTTATCTTATAAGTTCTGTTTAATCATTTACTAGATCAAGTCTCTTTTAAGTATTTTAGCTGAAAAACTAGGAATTTATACATTTGAAATTCACTATGTTACACATTATGTGATTGCAGGTTATCACATTATTGGAGGAGTAAATGATTTGTTTTAACACTTAGAACATTTACTCTCTAAATGTCTTTAGAAAGGGTCAGATGAACTCACAGGCCGGTTACAGAGTTCTGGAGAGGAGACTTGCTCTTCTTGCTCTGCATCTAGGAAGAAGGGCAGACCATCTCTTTGTGCTACAGACTGTGGTTGGGAGACAGTCTCCCCACCATCCTCTTCACTAAAAATGTCATCTTGCATTTGATTAGCAGCTGATATCTTCTCTTCTTTGGCCTTTCTAATTTGTGCGAATTGCTTCACAGCGTCTTTCATGAAGTTGTTGAGGATCTTATCTGTAAAAGCACTGAGGGTGTCTTTCTCCACTGTTTGCTCTGGAGTAGACTTCTGATGGGCATCTACGCCTTTCCTCTCAATGAGGGTAGTGGTCTCATCAAGAGTTTTCTTCCCCAAGGCTATCTTACGGTCTATGTCAATGCTGAAGAGACTGGTAGGTACATCTTCAAGGTCCAGGATGATTGTCTTGGTTCTTCCATTGGACATTGGATACTCACCCTCTTTGAACTCATGCGAGTTGGTCAGGTTTTTCTGGTGTTCAGCTGGACCATCATTCACATCAGTAGGTCCTTTGTCTTCAGAATGATAACTCGTCTGAGATGTTCCCTCTTTTTTATTTCTCAGATGTCCCCCGTGTGTCTTCTCAATGTGCCGTTTCTTTGGCTCGTTTTCAGACTGGTCGTCAAGGAAAGAGTCCTCATCCTCTGTGGTTTCCACATAGATGTCAAACTTCTCTGGCAGACGGGAGATCTTGTCCGGAGGAGCAAAGATGCCATGGCCCTCCTCACACTCAAAGTAAACCACCCCATCGTAGGTGCCATTGTTGCTTCCCTCAGACTTGTCCAGCTCCACTCCAGCCCAGAAGCCGTTGGCAAAGCTGGTGTGGCCCTTGAATCTAAGCGTACCAGGCTGGACGTTGCTCACTAAAACCCTGTCCCCAATGGTGAAGTTAGGCATTTCATCCACTGATGGTGAAGGTGGTGTCTGGGAAGGGGAGATAGTTGGGGAGCGGTTTGAACTAATGACCTTCTCCTGGGAATCCTTGGTCTGGCTATTCAGGTCCAGAAGTCTTTCAGAGCGAGGACTGCCACTACTAGCTCCAGATCTTTCACTCAGATCCTCACCGATCTCGTCCTCACTACTGTAGAAGGGTGACCTGCTGTGGGAACCCTCCCTGGTCTCTTGGCGGGACGGTGAGGTAGGTTTGGAGCCTTGGTTGTCCTCCCTGAGTGACGACTCTACTGAGGATTCAAAGTCTTCATGATAACCATCAGCTGAAGGAGGAGAGGCCTCCTTACCCTTGGCTGAAAAGTCCCTCTTTGATGAAAAGGCATCAGACTCAGGGGTGTATGATCGCTCTTTGATGGGGGATGGTGATTTCTCATCAACATCAAGACTGCTTATCGGGGAAAGCCCTTGTTCTCCTTTCTTTATGGAATCATGTTCCGACAGAGACTGGTGCTGCTGGGAAGCTGGCCTCTGCTCTAGGTCAAGTTTGAGTAGATGGTCAAAGTGGCGGTCTTCAGAGCGGGACTGAGAATGCTCAGAGCCTTCAGACTTCACAGAGTCCAGCTCCTCCATGACCTCTGACCGGAGGCTGGAGACAACGCTCTCATCCCCAGAGTCGGTGGCCTGTGGCCTGGCTGGCTCCCTCAGAGGGAGTGCCCCCTCAGAAGGCTGCCTGGGGAGATGCTCGGGGGACAGCATGCCCGTTAGACCGTTGGTGTGCTCTGGACTCCCATACACTGGAGTTGGGGTGACTGTAGGGGGGTCCTCGTCTGAGGACTCCTCATGCCCTGAGGTATATTTACTGAGCCCAGATGGTGTGAGGTCATCTGAAAACAAATCAACAACGCATTAAACAACGTGTGTTATCACAGTATGGGCACAAATGTCAAGGTCTTAGAAAGTATTTTGAGGAGAAAAATACACTTGTTGACAGTGCACATCCACAACCTACCTTGTTCAACTGGAGAATGTGGAAGGGTCTTCTCAGCTTTTTCAGAGTCAGAGAGAACCTTCCAGTTTTTGCTGGTTTCAGGCCTGGGGATAATTATTTTTTTCCTGATTAACATCCCATGAAAATGGACCAATTGATCAGTTTGTGAATCATACATATAGTGAAGTGCGATGGTGTACCTGTAAGGAGGTGGTGGTTTAATCTTGGGCTTCTCTGTGGCTGAGATGGGGGCCTTGATCTGAGGCTTGGCAGAGGGTGTCGAGTCTGGTTCCTTATTCAACTCAGTCTTGGTCTTCTCAATGAAGTAATTGTAGGACTAGACATTAGAAAACAAAAGTCACTCTTTTTGTTATTTCTCATTGAATGGAGCAGGGCAGGCTAGGATTCTCTGACGGACACACTGACCTCTAGCTGCTTCAGTAGGCTGGCCTCCTGGGCTTTCAGACGCTCTTTGTGCCTCTTCTTCTGCTCCTTCTTCAGCTGGTACACCACAGACTTGCGTTTGCGCAGCTCCTCTTTTAGGGCACGGATACGGCTCTCGATGTCGCTCTGATCCGACATGGGCTCTGCGTGGCACAATAAGTACTGTTAGAATGCTAAATCCATGCCAGACTGATTAGTATAAAGTAATCCAAATTAGAGCTACTGAACTCAAATTCTCAGAGGGGGAGGGGAGGTAAATATGTACAGTATCTCACAAAAGTGAGTACACCCCTCACATTTTTGTAAATATTTGAGTATATCTTTTCATGTGACAACACTGAAGAAATGACACTTTGCTACAATGTAAAGTAGTGAGTGTACAGCTTGTATAACAGTGTAAATGTGCTGTCCCCTCAAAATAACACAACACACAGCCATTAATGTCTAAACCTCTGGCAACAAAAGTGAGTACACTCCTAAGTGAAAATGTCCAAATTGGGCCCAAAGTGTCAATATTTTGTGTGGCCACCATCATTTTCCAGCACTGCCTTAACCCTCTTGGGCATGGAGTTCACCAGAGCTTCACAGGTTGCCACTGGAGACCTCTTCCACGACGACATCACGGAGCTGGTGGATGTTAGAGACCTTGCATTCCTCCACCTTCCATTTGAGGATGCCACAGATGCTCAATAGGGTTTAGGTCTGGAGACATGCTTGGCCAGTCCATCACCTTTACCCTCAGCTTCTTTAGCAAGGCAGTGGTCGTCTTGGAGATGTGTTTGGGGTCATTATCATGTTGGAATACTGCCCTGCGGCCCAGTCTCCGAAGGGAGGGGATCATGCTCTGCTTCAGTATGTCACAGTACATGTTGGCATTCATGGTTCCCTCAATGAACTGTAGCTCCCCAGTGCTGGCAGCACTCATGCAGCCCCAGACCATGACACTCCCACCACCATGCTTGACTGTACTCCTCACCTGGTTGCCGCCACACACGCTTGACACCATCTGAACCAAATACGTTTATCTTTGGTCTCATTAGACCACAGGACATGGTCCCAGTAATCCATGTCCTTAGTCTGCTTGTCTTCAGCCATCTGTTTGCGGGCTTTCTTGTGCATTATCTTTAGAAGAGGCTTCCTTCTGGGACGACAGCCATGCAGACCAATTTGATGCAGTGTGCGGCAAATGGTCTGAGCACTGACAGGCTGACCCCCCACCCCTTCAACCTCTGCAGCAATGCTGGCAGCACTCATACGTCTATTTCCCAAAGACAACCTCTGGATATGATGCTGAGCACGTGCACTCAACTTCTTTGGTCGACCATGGCGAGGCCTGTTCTGAGTGGAACCTGTCCGGTTAAACCGCTGTATGGTCTTGGCCACCGTGCTGCAGCTCAGTTTCAGGGTCTTGGCAATCTTCTTATAGCCCAGGCCATCTTTATGTAGAGCAGCAATTCTTTTTTTTCAGATCCTCAGAGAGTTCTTTGCCATGAGGTGCCATGTTGAACTTCCAGTGACCAGTATGAGGGAGTGTGAGAGCGATGACATCAAATTTAACACACCTGCTCCCCATTCACACCTGAGACCTTGTAACACTAACGACTCACATGACACCGGGGAGGGAAAATGGCTAATTGGGCCCAATTTGGACATTTTCACTTAGGGGTGTACTCACTTTTGTTGCCAGCGGTTTAGACATTAATGGCTGTGTGTTGAGTTATTTTTAGGGGACAGCAAATTTACACTGTTATACAAGCTGTACACTCACTACTTTACATTGTAGCAAAGTGTCATTTCTTCAGTGTTGTCACATGAAAAGATATACTCAAATATTTACAAAAATGTGAGGGGTGTACTCACTTTTGTTGATACTGTATTTATTTGGTGTTTGTCAATACCAACATTCATATGATACTCCAAAAATTACAAGTACATGTTATGGTTAGTGGTAGAACCTGAAGACTGAAATTCCCACTAAGATAGCTACACAGAATCAGCAACAGTTTAAGGACTATGAATGAAGCTTCCATACTCCCATAACACAACTAAGCAGGTTGAGTGTCAGGGAACTGAGCGCATAATCCTTTTCTTACGTCATCACATTATGCCTGCACAGTAAGTCATCTTTCTACTCTGCTTTTCAACATCTCTAATAGAAAATACAAAATAATGTCCCGTTTTGAAGGTCCTACTGCTCCAGACAGGGGGGCCAACTCACCTGTGTGTATGTCTGAAGGGGTGTCAGTGGCCTTGGGGTCGTGGCTGGCGGTCCTGGAGGAGGAGCGGAGCTGCATCTTGCTGCTGCTGCTGCCCTCTGGGTGTGTGTTAGTGTCGAGGTTGGCTTTTGGTGAAGGAGACTGTACAACATAGTAAAAGGATAGGGCCCAAGGGGAATTCAGGACAATTCACCACAACAGCACGTTCCAACTAACTAACCACGCCAAGCATCTCACACATACACAAAAACAAAACACACTCAAAAGGCAGTGTCCCTAATGGATTCCTTCCTCTGACATTCAAATACGCCATATTCTGCCTTGTTTTAGTCTTCTTGCTTATAGCCCATTTGCACATGGCTGCAGGTAGCGGTTAAGAGCGTTGAGCTATTAACCAATAGGTCGCTGGTTCGAATCACCGAGCCGACTAGGTGAAAAATCTGTCGGTGCCCTTGAGCAAGGCACTTAACCTTAATTGCTACTGTAAGTCGCTCTTGTTAAGAGCATCCACTAAATGACAAAACAATTTAAAACATTTAAAATGTAAATTCCTAAAACGATTTAACTCCAGATAACTACATATTATGATGATTTTCACAATTTGGCTGAAAATAGTGCTTTTTATCTTGACCTAGTAAGGCAGTTGATTAACAATACTGCATGTAACAAAACAATAAAGTAGCACAAATTCATTGATCACAAGAGAAGTGACAATTCACTGAAAGCAGCAACTGATCCTGGAGCCTGGACAAAGGCCTGCATTCACTGAGCTGCCCAGCGATGGGAATACAGAGCTAACAAAGTCTCAGTTTGCGCTCAGGAGGGAAACAGATTCTGTTAACTCACTATACAATTCCCTGCATTCCTTTCACATGGTGCGTTTGATTTTTCTTTGTACATTTAAAATGATTTCCTAACCTTATGGAAAGGTTAATAAACAAATGTAATCAATGCCTTTCTACTGTATTAATACATTACTGCAAAACATGAAATCACAACATGCACAGGGCCTTACCCTCTTGCTCGCAGAGGGGGAGTCAAAGTCCTGGGTGTAGATGGAGGGGCTGTGCTGGGCAGAGGGCAGCTCAGAGACAGAGCCAGGCTGATCAGTGGAGGGGATGTCTGGCTGCTGTGACCCAGACAGCTCTGTGTGTACACTGGAGCCAGTCACCACTGGGGAGTAGTCACCCTCACTCACAGAGTCTGAGGAGATACACAAAGGTCAAGAGCAGATAAATAGACCTGCAGCCTCAAACATTGAGACGCAGCTAGCTAGATGGACTGTATGGCGTTCTCTCATTCATAAAGTATATGACATAAGGCAAGCAAACACATTACCTGATAACAGGCAGTAAACAGAAACGACTGCATACTACTGGGTGTCCATTTATTTAATGTCATACACAATCTCTTTCTCACCTCTGTCAGTTCTGCCCTCAGGGCTGTGCTGGCTGGGGCTGGCATTGCGGCTGCCATTGGGGCTGGCGATGGGGCTTTCTCTCTGTTCTGACCTCTGGTCTCGGTCTCTAGGACGGTCTCTGTCCCAGGCAGCCAGGGCCTGCTTCTCCATGTGCCTCACCTCCGCCTCCTCAGCATCCAGCCTCTGCTTCCACTCCAGCAGCTCCTCCGCATGCCTCCGCCGCTGCATCAAACCCTGCTCCCGCTTGGTCAGGAACCTGGTGGTGGGGAGGAGAGGAGGAATGGAGAGATGGGTGGAGGAGGAGAGAAAGCACAAAGGGCACAATCAGCATGAGGAGCAGTGAAATGATGGCAACATTGCAGAAGCTAGCAGAGCCACCAGCAGTCCAAACAGTCAACCCAACCACCCCCTGCCCATCTTCACTGCAAACTCAAAACCTATGGGATCACACACACAACAAACCATGTTTACCTCGATAGACATGGTTTCATTTTGACACCATAGTGCACAAGTCACCCAAACAACAGAGTACAAGCATTTGGTCACAATGGGGAAAAACAGAAACAAAGTGTGGTGGCGGCCTGATCACCAGGCCAACATCATGCATCTGATTTAACCCCAGGGCTTAACACCTCTCAAACATCTCTGTCCAACACAACACCACCCAGAGTTAAAAACTGCACCCCAGAATATCCTAAATGTCTCTATGGGTGTAACTTTCCCATGAATTCTACACAACAAGAGTCAAGATGCATTTTCCATGTATACTGCTGAGAGAAAAGACGACATTCAAATTCTTTCTCCATTGCTTGGATTTATAATGTACATTGAAAAGGACTGGTGAGTTATGCAATGCAAGTTTAACAGCTATTTTGCATATTGACTATAATTACTAGAAGTACCAGACAGTAATGTGTTGTCTGGCTTTGTCTCACTCTCTCTTGCACCAGCTTATTTCATACTGAAGTTGGGAAAGATACTGTAGGGCTTTGGTCTAGACTGTGTAGGGCTTTGGTCTAGACTGTGCTCCCAATTCAATTAAGCCCACTTGCAATATATATTAATTAGCCTATCACAAGCAACAGTTACCTAATCAGGAGAATCAGTGAAGATTTACTGGGCTCATTAAATCAGATGAAACCCTTTACCACTGCTAAAGCAACGCCCAAAGACACTACGTCTTTCTCATAGATGGGTTGTAACCTAATATCTCAGCATTTAATCTTATGGACTTTGCTCCAACTAAGTAGTGAGTGGCATGAATATGAGGAATATTAGCAGATGCAGATCATGGTTTATTCACTCTGAATGAGAGTTAAATGAGCGCCTCCAAGCAACACTACAGAGAGCTCTCGCTGTTCAAATGGGAGAGTCTCGCTTAATCAGGCCAACCATATTAACATGAATATGACCTTTCCAGGTCAAAGAGGTCATATTATTATTGACAAATGCCTTTTGTTTTTCACTTCTTTTTGAATTTCATAACTTCTGTGCCCCTTCAAGCATACGGTTGTGATCATACATGCAATGCCTAGTGACTTTGGTTTGTGTTTTTCAAGCTTTCAATTCCCCACTTACTGAAACAAATATAAATAATGGCAAGACCCTAGCAGCCCCCCCCTTCCCTCCACACACACCATTCCACCCACACACCATTCTACCCCCCCACATACACACACACCATTCCACCCATGCTTCCCCCAGTGTTGGTGGCTGAACACAAGCATGCTCCATGGGACAGAGGGCATGGGAGGGGAGGCAGCAGTGAGAGGTGAGAGCAGCACTGTACCTGACCAACTGGTTGTAGATAAACAGCTGGAATTTGGGATGGAGGTTGGGGAAACAGAGACTGAGAGAAGCCCAGTGGTGGGCCGTAAACAGACAGAAGAAGTAGTGGACAGGAGAGCAGTGTCTACAACAAAACAAAGCAAGGGGACACAGAGATAAACACAAAACATGAGTTGGAAAATGAGAAAAAACAGCAAAAGAGAGAGAACAGGAAGAAATAGAAAAACGACCACAGAGAGGAAGAGGGGGAGAGAGAGAAGAGAGCAGTGAGTAAGCATGTGTTTTATTGCAACGAATGTTTCATGTTCCATTCTAAGAGAATTAATGTAGTTAGTTACTCCGCCAGGGATTTGTTTTTGTTGGCAGTGCTTTAAAGGGGTATTAAAACCCAGTCCTTTTCATCAGACGTGGGCCAGGAGAATGGCCGGATGTAGTGCGTATTTATCTTTGAAGCCGGACTACAATGAATCGCTGGTGTCTAGTAATGTGTAGCCATGTGTGAATGTGTGCAACGGTGGCGATGCCAGAGACGGGAGCTAGGCGTGACTGATAAATGATCATCCTTAGGGGTTAAGAGAGAGGCCTTTGTCTCATTTTGCACCCCACTGGACATAATGCTGCTTCTTAATTAAATACACTGGATGGAGGAATTTGGGGAGATTAGATTATTTTTGCAAAAAGTTGCAAAAGTGGTGGGTGATAATTTTGTTAATGTTTTTAACTACTGGTGACTAAAACCTGATTTGGACTTCATTAGAATAAAACCCTGGCTAAAAGCACACAAGAACCTTCACTATGATCATCAACACCACAACAATAATAATACTAGGGCATGATTAAAAGAGAGGCTGTTCACATAATGAAAGGGCAGATTGTTAGAAGACCAATGCTAGCGAGCAGACAGAGGCTTGGCTACAAGCACCTTGTTAGTTCCCTATAGAAAATAAAGTCCAGGCTCAAATTGACAGTGACCTTACACCTTTAGCCTTGATATAATGTACATTCAGTTTATGTTATTTGGTAGATTAATAAATTCAAGGAATCATTAGCTCTAGAATTAGTACTGATGACGTTGTTCTTGAAAGGAAGTTACAAATCCTAAAACGCCACAACAACTGAATGTTTGTTAGGACCTGTAGTGCAGAATGTTCAAGTACAGAAATGAGCTCAGTCAGTGTGCAGGTCTGGTTGTATAACCATCATGTGAGCCCCAGAGTCACATAACCACATTGTTAACATACCAGAACATATCTGCTCTGGTTCATATTGTTAATATTCCAATGATTAGTACAGGGGTTAGAAAGAATGCATTCTATCTATAGAGAGGACATGGAGCATGCTGATATTCATATCCACACTGCAGTAGAAGGACCATTGTGTCTAGTCAAGCCATTCCCCCACTTTCACAAGGCAACAGTGACTTGGAGCAAATTATTTTCACTAACAGAAGCTCTGAGGCGGCTAGCTAATACCTTGTGAATAATAATAAGCAAACAGCTTGAATGATTGACATGCCCAATGTGAGAACAGGATTATAGTTTTGTTTGATTGTCAGTGTAAAACAACAATCACACCCATAAAGATATGGTTATCAAAGATATGGTATTTCAGCTGTTTAAAAAGCCACAAGTTGAAAAAAGAGCCCATGAAGACTTCCACGGTAAACACTGTCAATTAGACATTTTAGTTGTCAATAGAAATGTGGACATTGTAGTTAATAGAAGAGCAAATTACTTCTCCTCCATGTGAGAACGCATCTTCTTGAGCTTCTGCATGATGCTGCTGGTCTCACTGCCAGCCACTGAGAGTGGAGAGGCACTGCGCACGTCCCCGTCTGTCATCGCAGCACTGGGGGAAGCTGCCGCATCTATGGGCTCTGACACTGGAGTCTCCTGTAGGACACAGATGGATCATTTCAACTCTTTATGAAACCATGTAGTATTGTTTTAGACATATGAATAACACAAAGCATCTCTTTCTGAAGTTCAGCTCAGTATCTCCATAAATAAGACGTGTATGTGTTCCAGATAGGAATAAGATGAAAGGTGGTGGTAGTACTGACTGGTGGGGTGTTACTGGTGCCGGCACACTTGAGGCGCTCCTTCAGCTTGAGGGTGGCGTGTCTCATCCTCTCTATCTCCTCCTGCTGTTTGAGCAGCAGCTGCCTCTCCTTCCTGGCTGCCCTGTTGGCCTCCTGCAGACGCTTGATCTCCCCCTGGACACCACATACACAGGGTCAAGGGTCATGGTCACTCAGCATTACAGATGGGCAGTAATGGGAGCAGGTGAGATGGGCAGAGATTTAGGGCTTGATTCAATCCGTATCGCCAAAGTTCAGGGCTATAGTGCGCTTGAAATTGAAAAGGTAATTTCCGATTGAGCCGACAAAGTGATTGCAGTCTCCGCGAATGAGGAGAAATTGCCTTTAAATGTCAATCACACCACATAGTACTGAACTTGGGCGTTACAGAATGAATCAAGCCCTTAGTAAGTTAGTTACGAGTTAGTTACCTGTTCCTGTTGAAGTTTCATCAGTAGGCCTCTTTGCTTCTTTCTGATGGGCGGCATCTTGTCATCTTCACCCTTGTCTCTGAGGCGCCTATGTGGTCAGAAAGGAGAAAGAATGAGATCATGAATGCAAAATGAGGACAGAAGTGCCAAATGGAGACTAGTTTTGATCAATGCGTTCTGTGGAATTTCTCTCGTGGTTACTGTACATTAATCATTGGAGGACATGACAGAAAAGAAAACATTGAATTTAGCGGGGAATGAGACAATATTAATTTGGCCAACATGGATCCTAATATAAGTAACCAGTGCCTTTTCTGGTGCTCCAGCCAGGCGAGCTCGGCCTTGGTCTTCTCCTTAAGGGCCTTCTGTCGCAGGCGCAGCAGGGAGCTCTGGTGGTGGGCGCGCACCTCCTCCTCCTTCATGTACTGGCGCACCATGTCCATGGTGAACCTGGAGAAGCTGTCCTGCCCGCTAGAGAAGGGCATGCTGCCGTCCTGCTGCTGGGGGGTGGAGAGGAGGGAGGGAGAGGGGACAGTGAGTCACTCACACACAGATATCACATAGCCTTATCAGTCAGGAAACTGGGCATACACAGAGAGCAAACAGTGGTAGATGGAAAACCACTCTGGCCACTGGTTAAACGTTCCTTCTGCTGGCAAACACACTGAGGCGTGGGAGAGGTTGCTGGCCGTGAGGTGGTTGCTACATAGAATAAGTGTTGTAAATACCTAAGTCCATTCCGACAAAACACCCGGGCCCAATGAAGGCCAAGGTTTATACAAGATCATCTCCACATGTGGCAGTCAGGTGCATGGTTCTCCATCCTCTCTTAGCTGCACCACAGCCAACCTCTCCTCTACATGTTGGGTTTGAGAGGACTGTGTATGGGTTGGGGAGGGAGGGATACAGCCAGGAAGGGAATCTCCAAGGAGCAGTTAAGCGGGCTGGGACACACAGCACGTTTATTGTGCCCAGGGTAGTAATGAGTTGAGCAGGCTTTCCCAGTCTCTCTGATGCTACAAGGCAGGCAGGTCTTTCCTGGCCTCAGCATGCCCAGGCACACGCCCTCATACTTCATCTAAGGGACTGAACACTGAGCCCTTTAGAGAGGCAGGGAGCTACCAATGTGCCTTGACATTAAGAGCTAAGACAGATGCTGCTGCCAATATATTAGAGAGAAGCTATAATTTCACCATTAATGAGGTCAAATAGGGGTAAATGCTGGATAAGCATTATGCGCTAGTTACTTCAAGGATAGGCAGAAATCTCTCCAAGTAAACTAGTACACTTAAGCTTTTGGATAAGTGCTAGGATTTCAGTACTGTGGAGGACAATCCTTATTTATTTGAGTAGTCTTGCTATTTTGCCAGAATAACAGCTATTGCGATGAGGTGGCATACTAACCTTGGAGCTGTCCTGTACTGTGGTCTTCTCCTGACTGGGTTCGTCGTCCGACTCCTCGTGGGGACCTCTCTTCTTCTCCACCGCTCCCCGCCGGTGAGACTCCGAGGGCAGCAGAGAGCGGAACGAGCGCTCCTCAATCTCATCTTCCGTCATGGACTCGTCAAACTTCAGAGAGTACTCTGTAGCAAATGAGGTGCTGTCTGTATGGGGACAGATTAGAGAGGGGAAACACAGTTCACTTTCTCAGAGACTCCAGGCTATTTACCCTCCCCTCCATACGTATTTGGACAGTGAAGCTATGTTACATTTGGCTTTATACTTCAGCATTTTGGATTTGAGATGTAATGTTTTATATGAGGCTACAGTACAGAATGTCACCTTTGATCTGTTTTACACACGTATGTATTTAGTCCACCCCCGTGTGAAGAAGTTATAAGTATTTGGACAAATTCACTTAGTGTATCAAATTAGTCGAAAGTTTAGTATTTGGTCCCATATTCACAACGACTACATCAAGCTTGTGACTCTACAAACTGGTTGAATGCATTTGCAGTTGTTTTTGGATGTGTTTTGGGTTATGTCTTGCCCAATAGTAACTGAATGGTGAGTATTTGGAGTAATTGTATTATTGTATTATTAAGTGAGCAGATAAGATGTTTCTGAACACTTCTAAATGAATCCTGCTAATGCCATGATAAACAAAATCATGAATGAATTATGAACAACTATGAGTGAGATACCGTTCAGAAGCTACAACAAAACATGCTAACCTCTCACCATTACCAAGAACAGGGGAAGTTAGCATCTTTGGGGGGTATGATCTTTGTGCCTCTAACCTTCTCACTCATTATTCACGTTTCATTGATGATTATCCGTAATCATGGTAGCATCCACATTAATGTAGAAGTGTTTAGAAACATATTATATTCTTATTTATAATAAAAGTGACTCCAAAAAGGAACAATACATTAGTCAACATTCAGTTCTTATTGGGCAAAACATATTCCAAAACAAACCGCAAATGCATCCAAGTTTGTAAAGTCACAAGCTTGATGTGGTCATTGCATGCGAGGAATATCTCAAATGCTGGAGTATAGAGCCAAAATAAACCACTTAGCTTCACTGTCCAAATACATATGGATGGGAGTGGATGTATCATAAAGGATTGTTATACACTGCCTGCTTGATAATGGTCCCTCTCCAGATCCCACAATGGGTGCTATGACCCAGGCCTTACCTTTCTCATCCAGTAGGGACTGAACACTGTCACTGGGGATGGAGTCATCAGCTACTGTATGGGCCTCATCCTCCACTGAGCTGTTACCCATCTCCACCTTCCTCCTCTCCCTCTTCTCAGATGAGGCCAGGGAGGGACTCAGGTGGCTGCTACTCTCTCCACCACTGGGGACGGGGACGGGGGGGCAAGGCAGAGGGTACAGGGGAGGGGGGAGATAGAAGAACGATTGAGTATTTAGTCATGGTAATGCCTATAAATGGGACCAAGTTTTTCCTGACCAAGCCAAGTGAGCTGACAAGGAGAGATCCCTGGTGTCTGTCTGTGAGGTGCTCCAGTGTGTGAAAGACCCAGTACCTGAGGGTGGGTCTCCTGGAGGGGATGGAGTCAGAGCGGCTATCCAGGGAGGAGAGGGGCTCCTCAGTCCTGGTCCAGGCAGCAGACACCTCACTTCTGGAGCTGTCTGTGTCAGTGCGGGGCTGGAGCTGCTTCATAAAGCTCTGGCGATGCTGCCTCTGCTGGTCAAACAGGGTGGTGATGGGAGCAGCAGCAGGGACACCTATGGCTCCAGCGATCTGAGAACGGGCCAGATCGGTCATCTGGGAGACAGAGCAACTTGTATCAACTGAAAAGCGGACTTAACCCAACCTAAAGCAGTCTGTAATCATTTGTATATGTAATATTTTCAATATTTGCATGTCAACACAACAGGAGACTCAGTGAGGAAACGAACAAAAACCAAGGCCAGTGGCTGGCTGTAGAGAAAAGAGTGGAGAGGGAGTGTTCTGACCTCTTTGATCTGGCGGGCAGCTTCGGCCGTATAGCGTACAGACTCAGCCTGTTGGCTGATCATCTTAGTGGTGGCCTCCTGCATGCCTCCCAGAGACTGCTGCTGGGTCTGAGCCATGTTCTCCTGCAGCTCCACGTGAGCCTGCAACGACACACACACAGTTCTGTTAGTGAACCACACTACACAGTCTACACACACCTAATAAAAATAGCTCCCATCTCACAACAAATGCAGTGAAGTTAGATTGCATTCTATAAATATTCAAGGTGTTCGCAAATATGAAGCCATCCTCGAGAGTATCAACAATCTACCAAGTTGGTGCACGGTTCTAACTCTAGGTGATTAGTTTGTGTATTCTGCTGAGTTGCCCATGCTAAATGCCAGTGCTGTGTGTACAGTACCCTGGCTGCTTTCTGACGTGTCTCCTCCAGCTGATGTTGGGTCTCCAGCGCCTCCTGCTCTGCCTTCACCTTCAGCTCATAAAGGTCACGCTCGTGCCGCTGCTGCTGCGCCTGAAAGGTTAGAGGTCAAAGGTCAGGACCTATGGAAAAAGGTGAATGAAAACTACCAGAACATAACAAACATGCCAAAAGTGCCGAAGGTAATGTTTCAAGAGCGCAGCAGTGACTATACTAAGCATCTAAACATATGTCAGCAATCTTCAGGTGCTCTGATTGGTGGGCTGGCCTCTCTCACCTTGAGTATTTGGGCGAGCGAGACGCTTTCATGCTGAGCCAGAGACACACCCCTCAGCCTCTCCACATCGCCCAGCTGACGCACTGACTCCTCTATAGACTCCAGGTAATGGAGTTCTGCAGACATACGCTGCTGCAACACCCCTGGGGTGTAGTGGAGCTCACCTGGACAACAGAGAGACAGATAGAAACAAAGAGAGGGAGAGTTAAGACATGGGTACTACTGTGCCTTCAGAAAGTATTCACACCCCTAGACCTTTTCCACATTTTGTTGTGTTACAGCCTGAATTTAAAATGGATTAAATTGATATGTTGTGTCACTGGCCTACACACAATACCCCATAATGTCAAAGTGGAATTATATTTTTAGAAACGTTTACAAATTAATTAAAAATGAAAAGCTTGAAATGTCTTGAGTCAAGTATACAACCCCTTTGTTATGGCAAGCCTAAATAGGTTCAGGAGTAAAAATGTGCTTAACAAATCACATAATAAGTATCCTGGACTCACTTTGTGTGCAATAATAGTGTTTAACATTATTTTATGATGACTACCTTATCTCTGTAACCCACACATACAATGATCTGTAAGGTCCCTCAGTCGAGCAGTGAATTTCAAACACAGATTAAACCACAAAGACCAGGGAGGTTTTGGGCATCTGGGAGACAGAGCAACTTGTATCAACTGAAAAGCGGACTTAACCCAACCTAAAGCAGTCTGTAATCATTTGTATATGTAATATTTTCAATATTTGCATGTCAACACAACAGGAGACTCAGTGAGGAAACGAACAAAAACCAAGGCCAGAGTCAAGTATACAACCCCTTTGTTATGGCAAGCCTAAATAGGTTCAGTAGTAAAAATGTGCTTAACAAGTCACATAATAAGTATCCTGGACTCACTTTGTGTGCAATAATAGTGTTTAACATTATTTTATGATGACTACCTTATCTCTGTAACCCACACATACAATGATCTGTAAGGTCCCTCAGTCGAGCAGTGAATTTCAAACACAGATTAAACCACAAAGACCAGGGAGGTTTTGGGCATCTGGTTTTCCAATGCCTCACAAAGGGCACCTATTAGCAGATGGGTAAAAATAAAAAAAGCAGACATTGAATATCCCTTTGAGCATAGTGAAGTTATTAATTACACTTTGGATGGTGTATCAATACACCCAGTCGCTACAAAGCTACAGGCGTCCTTCCTAACTCAGTTGCCGGAGAGGAAGGAAACCGTCAGGTAGCCTAGCAGTTAAGAGCGTTGTGCCAGTAACCTAAAGGTCGTTGGTTCAAATCCCAGAGCTAACGAGGTGAAGAATGTGCCCTTGAGCAAGGCACTTAACACTAATTGCTCCTGTAAGTCGCTCTGGATAAGAGCGTCTGCTAAATGACTAAAATGTAGAAAATGAAACCGCTCAAGGATTTCACCATGTTTACAGAGTTTAATGGCTGTGATAGGAGAAAACTGAGGATGGATCAACAACATTGTAGTTACTCCACAACACTAACCTAATTGACAGAGTGAAAAGAAGGAAGCCTGTACAGAATAAAAATATTCGAAAACATGCATCCTGTTTGCAATAAGGCACTAAAGTAAAACTGCAAAAATGTGGCAAAGAAATGAATTATATGTCCAAAATGCAAAGTGTTATATTTGGGGCAAACAACACATGACATCACTACCACTCTTCATATTTTCAAGCATGGTGGTGGCTGCATTATGCAAGGACTAGGGAGTTTTTTTTTAGGATAAAAAATTGAATAGAGCAAAGCACAGGCAAAAATTGTAGAGGAAAAACTGGTTCAGTATGCTTTCCAACAGCAGGACAATAACAAAAAAAACACAAGGCCAAATATACACTGGGGTTGCTTACCAAGAAGACAGTGAATGTTCCAGAGTCCCCAAGTTACAGTTTTGACTTAAATCTGCTTGAAAATCTATGGTAAGACTTGAAAATGGCTATCTAGCAATGATCAACAACCTTGAAGGATTAAAACAAAATAATGTAGAAATATTGTACAATCCAGGTGTGCAAAGTTCTTAGAGACATACCCAGATAGACTCTTAGCTGTAATCGCTGCCAAAGGTGATTCTAACATGTACTGACTCAGGGGTGTGAATAGACATGCAAATGAGATATTATTTTCAACACATTTGAAATCTAAATACATGTTTTTACTTTGTCATTATGGGGTATTGTGTGTAGATGGGTGAGATTTGTAATTTTTTTAATTCAATTTGAATTCAGGCTATAACACAACACAATGTGGAATAAGTCAATGGATATGAATACTTTCTGAAGGCACTGTAGATAGGCAATACCGTATGTATTTAAACTGCTGAGCAGGTGTTTCTAGGTGGTATACCTGCAGCCTTGGGCTCTGCTCTGCCATTGGCTGGAGATGTGGATTTGCCCCTGGCTGCAGACGACAGGGATGAGGAGGAGTGAGGGGAGCCGGACCCCAGGCCCAGGCTGTCTACCCCGGCTAGGGAGGCGCTGCTTGGAGACACACGAGGAGAACCAGAGCCTGTAGGAGAGCCAGGTGGAGACAGGCCAGGGCTTCTGGGGGATTTCTTATTGTCCAAGCCCAAACTGGAAGCAATACAACATTTTATGTAATTAATATGTACGCTTTCTGAAAATAAATGTTATGTCCCATTTCTAACAATTTAAATAAGGCTGGATTATTGTTTGAAAAAGTGAGAGAAAAAAAAAGTTTTACTTCAAACATTCAGACATGTAACTTTTCCCACTCCGTTTGACTTCAGGTATGTGTGCTATACTGCTATACAGAGCACTGTAACAAGGTGAAATGGGAACCAGGGACTAACAGAATCAAGGACAGGGGGCCCCAGGAAAGCCATCCTAAATATGTTAAGCTGAAAGAACGGTTTGAGCCAGTCGAACAGGCAACAATGTCTAATCCATGATGATGTATGCTTCGGCTTCCTAGCTGGAAACAGTACACTGCAGTCGACACCGCAGTCGACACCGTAGTAAACACTGCAGTCGACACCGTAGTAAACACTGCAGTCGACACCGTAGTAAACACAGCAGTCGACACCGTAGTAAACACTGCAGTAGACACTGCAGTCGACACCGTAGTAAACACTGCAGTAGACACTGCAGTCGACACCGTAGTAAACACTGCAGTCGACACTGCAGTCGACACCGTAGTAAACACTGCAGTAGACACCGTAGTAAACACTGCAGTAGACACTGCAGTCGACACCGTAGTAAACACTGCAGTAGACACTGCAGTCGACACCGTAGTAAACACCGTAGTAGACACTGCAGTCGACACCGTAGTAAACACCGTAGTAGACACTGCAGTCGACACCGTAGTAAACACTGCAGTCGACACCGTAGTAAACACTGCAGTAGACACTGCAGTCGACACCGTAGTAAACACTGCAGTCGACACCGTAGTAAACACTGCAGTCGACACCGTAGTAAACACTGCAGTAGACACTGCAGTCGACACCGTAGTAAACACTGCAGTAGACACTGCAGTCGACACCGTAGTAAACACCATAGTAGACACTGCAGTCGACACCGTAGTAAACACCGTAGGAGACACTGCAGTCGACACCGTAGTAAACACCGTAGTAGACACTGCAGTCGACACCGTAGTAAACACCGTAGTAGACACTGCAGTAGACACTGCAGTCGACACCGTAGTAAACACTGCAGTAGACACTGCAGTCGACACCGTAGTAAACACCGTAGTAGACACTGCAGTCGACACCGCAGTCGACACCGTAGTAGACACTGCAGTCGACACCGTAGTAAACACTGCAGTCGACACCGTAGTAAACACTGCAGTCGACACCGTAGTAAACACTGCAGTAGACACTGCAGTCGACACCGTAGTAAACACTGCAGTCGACACCGTAGTAAACACCGTAGTAGACACTGCAGTCGACACCGTAGTAAACACCGTAGTAGACACTGCAGTGACACCGTAGTAAACACTGCAGTAGACACTGCAGTAAACACTGCAGTCGACACCGTAGTAAACACTGCAGTCGACACCGTAGTAAACACTGCAGTCGACACCGTAGTAAACACCGTAGTAGACACTGCAGTCGACACCGTAGTAAACACCGTAGTAGACACTGCAGTCGACACCGTAGTAAACACTGCAGTCGACACCGTAGTAAACACTGCAGTAGACACTGGTGCCTCTCTCCTGCCCTAACTGCTAGTGCACCCAAGCAAACACCCAGTGCTTTACCTTACTAGAGAACAACTGCAGCATTAAGGACTGGATCCTGACTGTCATCATTATCAAATCACGCAGACAGAATGGTATGGAGGGAATCTGCCACCTGGGCTTTAAAAAATGCCATTGAGGAGGCTCAATTGTCACAGGAGAAAACTCTGCCTGCAGTGGGGAGATTTGACAATCTTGCTGCCCAATCAAAAGAGTCAGTGTTATGCTAGCCCCCCCACCCCACCCCTCCTCTCCTCTCGACGGCATGAGGCAGGCTGCTGCATTTTAATGATTAATGTTAAGCCTCAATGCCCAAATATATAGCCTCAGCAAAATAAGCGTTCTAAAGTGTTGAGTTAGCGAAGGCCATTGAGTGAGTGGAACAACAGGGGTGCCCCATTTGGTACTGAACTGAAAATACCCATTAATTCGCCGGAGGCCTGACAGAGGTTTTAAGATTCATCTTTATGTTGGCGGAGAGATACTTTGTAGAGAGAACACTGTGGCTGATGTGCAAGTTCACTCCAATATTCTCTCCAGTCACTTTAACTGTGTAAATATTATGGGTGCAGTGGTGGTCTTTGGAAGCCAGGGTCCACTTAATCATTACTCTCCCATTTTGTAACAAGGAAATTGCGTAGCATGCCTGAAGTGAGACTGCACAGTGAAACCAATAGACCAGAAATTAATATTTGAAAGGAGCATTATGTGCCCATACAGGGATTTTTCTGCCATTTAAATCCTTGGGTGGGGGCAGAAATCAGGATGGAAATACGCTTTCAAGTTAAACTTAAATGACTAAAACCAGATATAAAGTATGTAGAAAAGATAATGGACCAATATATATATTTTAAATAATATAATCATTGAGAACTAACAATCAACAAAATAAAAGCTAGACGGTCAGGGAGAATTGAAAATTCCAAAAACAATGAATTTAGCAGTATTGATGTTATTATGTTTGAGCAAAATAACAGCATTAGCCATGGCAAAATGCATAGAATTTGAGAAAATTTGCTTTAAAACTGCTACATTTTCTCTCAGCTACATGGAAAATTTTGTAGAATTGTAGGAAATTAGCTTTAAAACTGAAACAATTTCTCTTAGCTCCAAGGGGGCAATTTGTAGAATTGCAGAAAATTGGCTTAATTATAAAAATGTCTCTACATCATCAAGATGGGGGGCCTCTAAAAGTGTCTGAAGATGTCTCTAAACTCAAGCTGTGCAGACGGCAAACCGTACCCATTGCCACGCCCATCACCTAAGCCCATATTTTATCCAGAAAAAACCCTGCCATATATGCCAGCAAAAATAATATCCCCACTCAAATGTGCTCAGAGATTGTAAGAAAACCAGGAAGCTCAGGAAGGAAGGAAATACCAGTAATAACTGAAGGTCAAGGAGGATATTCAAGCTCTTGGGAATCCCCCTGAGCCCCTCAGAAGGGGTCTGGGCTTGGCTGAGGCCCCTTACCTGCGGAGTGAGTGGCCCGAGGCGCCCCCTAGTGTACTATCAGAGTAGGAGCTCTTCACCAGGTTGTGGATGGAGCTTCTCTCGGAGGCTGAGCCTCCCCATCTGGAGTCTCTAGTCAGGGCCTCCAAGCCCGGAGAGCAGGGGCTCCTCTGCTCCTCCACCAGAGTGGCATCACTCTTGTCTGAAGCAGCGCCTAAAGAGAGGGGAGAAACTCTTTAGAGCAGAGCGAGACACTTGCACTGGTAAGAAATTGTCAATAGATGGCATAATTTCAGGGGAAGTGATGATTTTATTTTGTGGTGAAAGTCTCACCCCTTTTCACAGAGCCCTTTGAGTGAGGTGAAGATACTGGAGTGGAGCTTGAGGAGTGATGGGATGGCAGGTCTACAGTCCTGGTGTCATAGGGGGACCTGCGACTCATCAACTCATCATAGTGACTGTTCCCACTGGTGATGCTGCAATGAGACGTCGAGATAAAAGATGGTTCAAGTCCCACATCATGTGCAACCACAAAAAGACTACGAAGACAACTTCAAAACTCCTTGCCAGGCTTCTTTGTCAGCCATGTGACATTAATGCCATCTTGTGGTTAATCCTGTCATTTTTACAGCTTTTTCAAATGATGTTTGTATTGCATGAGAGCAGCATTCAGATAGCAGCACCCTGTCATGTGACAATGGTAGAAACCCTCCTTACCTGCGTCCGTTGTATCCTTTCTTAGATTGGCTGCTGCCGCCGCTGCTGCAGGACGACACAAAGTCCTCCTCATACATTGGTGCCCCATCCACCGAGCTGGCTGCAGACAGGCCACAACGCACAGCAGGTGAACTCCGGTCTGCTCGCTCCTCTCCTCCAACTGCAGGGAGAAGCCAGAGGAACAGATTATTGGTTAAACGTTCGTTCCTCATTCAAAACTCTAAGGATACGGTTGGGTGTGTAAATGTGTTGGCTAACCTTTTGCGTGGTTGAGCAGGTGGTTCTTGGTGAAGATGTTGATGACACTATGAGGGCTTCCCTTGGCCAGTTCCTCCCATGGACCACGGCTGCTGTTCCGTTGCTGAGAGAGGGGGCTGAAGCCCGGGTACTTCTCTGCCTCTCTCTGGAAGTGGGAGATGGGCTGGAAGCCCTCCCGCTGGCCTGCACAGAAGTCCAGAGCCCCGAGACGCTCTGCCGGTTGTGGGACCCCCTTTATGTTGGTGCGGGGGCTCCCGTCTCCCTCCGACAGGCTGCCCTCGCTCAGCAGTGGGCCCTCGCTGATGGACTCACCGCTGGAGTCATGGGTGATGGCCTTCCCTCCCTTCTCCTCATCTGGCTGCTTATGGGAGCTGAGGCCCGGGGCTGTCTGGGGCCTGCTGCCTGGAGCAGTGGTCCTGTCTCTCTGCTCTCTGAAGCTGTGCAGGTTGCCCACCCCTGGGAGAGCTCCGTTGTATGTGCTCTGGCCAGCACTCAGCAGCCTCTGGATCCTCATGGACAGCTCGTCAGCAGCATCAGCTCTCTCTCTGACCGGTGGGCTCACAGGCTTGGCCCAGCGACCGTCGTCCGGAGGGGTCAGACCAGTCACGTCCATGTCCCTTGCACAGCTATAGTTGATTCCTGCGCCGGCCAGTTTCCTCGCTTCACTCTCTACGCGAGTGGACAGGGACGCAGCGGTGGCTTTCAGGGCCTCAATGCGGTTCATCTTGGTGTTGTTGCCTGCTCCATTGAGAGTGGAGTGCTGGGGCCTGGCTGGGGGATTGGTTCCCCTCCCACCAGAGCTCCCTGCTGTTCCCAGGTCTAAGAGTGGGGAGAAGAGCTGGTCTGTGTGTGGAGCCAGAGCGGTGGAGGGTCTGACTGCAGGACTCAGACGGTCTGGCTGCAGCCACGATGGAAGTCCCAAGCCCAGCTCATTCCTACAGGAAGAAGGGAGCGGAGGATTAGTATTCAAATATAATACAAGTGTATTCAAACAAAGCGCTCGGAAACAATGGAAATATTGTTTTATGGGTTCACAAAGTCCTTTAGTATGTGGACTCAAAGCATTTTAGTACTCAGCAACATTGTCCATAGGCTATGTCAAAGGTTTACAAGGATTTAAGACAACTAAATATGCATGCAGCCATTAACATATGTGGCTTGTACAGTCTAACCATGAGCTTCTGAGAACAACCTGTGTTTTCATCATACAAGCAAAAACATTTCAGGGCCGAGGATCAAGTCAACAAAATTCCAAGAACTGCATAGCAACTCAAGAACTTATGAACAGTATGCAAATTACAGTTACATACCGTAATGTTTACCCCACGCAAGGACCAGACATACATTTACACAGTCATCTGATGTAACTGTTGAATCTAAAATAGCACTGGAAATTCCCTGTTTTAAGGTTAACCGAGCATACGCCACCATGTTCTGAAATGCTGCTAGGTGTGCCCATAGAAACAGAAAGTTTAGAAACAAACAATTCCTTATTGGCTCTGTTGCTTCACAATGAGGAAGTAATATGGTTCTGTGCTTTGTTTCGGGCCTCTACACTAGCCAGTGCTAGTGGAAAAGGTTACATATAATCTGTAATGTCCGTTTGTGTTTTTAGTGAGATGTGTGTGGGTTAACCTGGAGAGTGGAGGGGGCGGGGGCTCAGACAGAGACAGGTCACTGCTGGAGGAGGCACTCTGGGGTCTTTCCTGTCTCTTGTTCTCCTTGTCCGACTCCCCGGATGGCTGGTACAGGGACTTCTGCTACACACACCACAAATAACTCATAGCTAGTTTCACTCACCACATGAGAGGTATCATTTCCTACAGGCAAATAGACTACATGAAATATGAGCAATAGCATTGTATGTCCAGAGTTAAACTGAGGGTAATTCTACATGTCACTATTTCACATATTGGTCCCTTCACATAACAAGGGCAGCTATGAATTGATTTTGACACACCGGCCATACCATCCCCATTTTCACTAAAGCTTGCAATGCGAGTAAGGGGACAGTGAAGGCTTTATCCCCATTACAACTAAAGATGCCTTTACCTGGTAAATGACTGTGGTAGAGGCTGGCTGTGTCTGGGGAGGCAGAGGTTCCTCTCCAAGACCAGCCTGTTCCAGTAGTAGTTTGGTGTATGTCTCCTGCAGGCGTTTTTGTACTGGGTTCTCCGGTACTGCAGGGCCCTTATTGGCTACCCCCTCTCTCTGCTTCCTGTACAGCTCCTGCAGACGTTGGCTTTTCCTCTCCGCCTCCTCCCTCTGGGCCCTCCGCTCCTCCACCTGACGTCTCTTGCGCTCCTCCTGTTGCCGGGCGATGTACTGGCGCACTGAGTCAGCGTCGTAGTGCCTCTTCCTGGGCCCTGGTTCTGAGGGCTCTTGCTTGTTGCGCTTGGCGGGGCTGGCACTGCGGGAGCCCCATAAGGAAGAGCCACCAGTCGTCCATGCTGTGGTTCTGGCCCTGGACTCTGAACCCCTCCTGGGCTCCGCTGGACCTCGCTCCTCTGCTTTGCGCTTCAGCTGCAGGTCGTCCAGGATGCCCCGGATATCTGCAGAGAGGTTGTCTGTGTTGGTGGCCCTGTCATCGGCTGGGCCTGCAGACTGAGGGTTGGGGGTGGGCTGGGTGGTCCTGTCCCGGCTGCTGGGTCTGGACCGACGGTTCAGCTCCGGACGGTGGTCTGAATTTGACAGAGGAAGGGGTCCTGGAAAAGATTTGTAAAGACCACAAAGGGTACTGATTGGTGACTAATGTTATTGTTAATGGAAAGGAACGTGTTTGAGTGCATGATAAGGGGGAAAATATTGGTCGCTATTAGGGCTGTCAAAGTTGACATTTTTAACGGCGTTGTTTTTTTTACACATTTAATCACATCTCCATTTTTTCACAAAGTTTTGAGCAATCATTTTTATAAGGAAAACTTCCAGAAAGTTCAACCATAAACACTTTCACAGGTGTTTCTTTAACTAACAGCAAACACTTAATTTGCACAGAAGTAGCAAGTTTGTTATGCTAAGGTTAGCTAGCATTGGCTGAATGCCTCTAGATTAAACTCTGATTTTAAAATCAGACCAGGACACCCATTCCATTTAGTAACTGTTTTTGTTGTAGTCCTCAGGTCAAAAGATTTTAGCAAATTATCCCAATTCTAGTAGTAGCAGCTAGTGACTAGTTCATGTTGATGAACATGGATAAGAAGTAGCCTTGGCTAGATCTAATAGCTGTATGATATTTTATGTGAACTCAGATGTGGCTTATCTGTTATTGTCTTAGAATAGTGGCAGTACAACCCTTTATGCCTCACTCCAATCCCCCCCTGTGTATTTGAGTCTAGCACAGGGACAACCACTGGAAACCAGACCGTGTTGAATTGTGCAGGCAGTCAGAAACAGCTAGTCAATCTTAATTCATTCCGGTCACTGACAGCCAAAGTTTGTAGGGAGACTGCTTGTGTGCTGGAAGAGACGACAACCTCTTTATTTATTTATATTCCTTTAGCCATGCCGACTGTCTGTCACGGTGCACTGTAAGCCTTTTAACATGCAATCAACAATAAGAAACATGAACACCACATATCCTGTAACAATATCCACTACTAACACGATTGCTTTGTCACACATTTTTTTTGTTTTACCAGACCACCAACTTCTGTCTGGTTTTTCATAGTGCTTACTTTGACTGTAGGTGTAGTGGAGGGGGATGAGAGAGATGGGGGGGGAGGGGTGTAGGAGAGGTGGAACGAGGAGGGGGGTGGAGGAGATGGGAGGGGAGGGGAGAGGGTAGAGGAAAGGCCAAGTAGAGCAGAGAGGGGTGAGGGTAGTATGCAGGTCTCAAATCCCACCTGTCCTGGCCAGTCTGTCTGTGGGCTCTGGCCTTTGCTCTCGAGGCAGACGTGGAGCGGGACCCAGTACCATCTTCACCAGCTTCTGGCCCTCCCGCCATGACGTGGTGCTGATCACTGCAGCAACAGGGAACACACCAAGAAAACACACGGAAGGTCATAATCGGTGTAGAGTTCTGCAGTAATTACTTATGGCAGGATTGTTTCTCAGACAGCCAAGATTTACAACTTAAATCAATCACATAAAACCCTAATATTGTATTATTGAAGTGCAAGGATCTTCATGTCCCCAAAAGAGACACAAATACATGACTTCTCTCTCTACTATGAATCTCTTTAGAGCTCAATTCTTTTAGAGCTGCATCATGCATATTTTATGAGTTTGGCTCAATTATGCACCATCTGAAATCAAGTTAGAAAATATAAAGACCGGCAGCTGTTTCTGTTTGGTAAAGGATCTGAACTTGATCACAGATTTCTGAGGGCTATTTTTAGTGAGCGGACTGGGAGCAGAGGCCAGCAGCAGGGTAGAAGGGGAGGATAGCTGGATGACAGGATAAGACTAGGTTATACCACACTCATCTCACTTTCCACTGCACTGGGAAGAACACACAGAGACAGAGATAGACAGAGAGAGAGAGATAGATAGACAGAGAGAGATAGACAGAGAGAGAGACAGAGAAAAAGAGACAAAGACAGAGAGAGACAGAGAGAGAAAAACAGAGAGATAGAGAGAAAGACAGAGAGAGGGAGAGGGAGACAGAGAGGGTGGTGTGAGCCCAGTACAGGGTGGCTGTTCTCAGCTGTCAGAGCTGGTATGGCGAGCCCAGCTGAACTGGGACGCATCTGCATTCCAGATAGTGTGCCTCTAAGCCGCTGCTTGCTTGCAATCAGCATGCGATACATTCTGGACATTTCTTTGAAGATAAGAGACTTAATGTTGGCACTCACACACGAACAGAGGCCTGTTGACTAGCACACAGTTAAGAGAGGCCTTCTGTGGTATGGGCCTGTCAAATGTATTCACTGTGATCCGCCTGCTCAGGTTCAGTGTGCATACTGCACAGTAACTGATTCACCAAAATAAATGTGATTTGTAGTCTCCTACTGAGGGGGATTCCCCTGTTTGTGAAAGACCCCTTGGCTTCACAATGTATTATCACCTAACCTACACACAATATTGGAGGAACTTTCACATCTTCTATTGAATGCATAGACCCAGGATGAGTAAGCACTACTGGGGGAGGGGGGAGAGAGAGAAAGGAGAGAGAAAGAAAGAGGAGAGAAAGAGTGAGCGAGAAAGAAGAAAAAAGATCCAACCTGGCTTGGTCTTCGGGTCGGGAACAGAAGCCGATTTATGGACTTTTCTCACAGGCTTGGACGGCTTCCTCTCCTTAGCCTTCTCTGTGGGCCGCAGCTGGGGCTTGGTGCCATCTAAAATTGGGAGAAAGGAGATGACATGACAGTGTGAGCACCAAAGAGGGGAAATGAACAGAACTATCAAATTACAAAAAGCAGCAAAACAAAAAACCTCTGAATGGAAAACAAAGCCATTGAATAAGAAGCTGGTGGACTGTGTCAGTGTAAAGGAGGAAGCTGAGAGCTTTAGCTCCAAAACTTGGGCAGAAGCCCAGGAATCAGCAGAGAGCCAGGGAGGACAAAGAAAATAGAAACTTTGAGAGAGAGAAAATTCTTCAAACAGTCATACAAAACTTTGGGAAATGAGCCATGCTGCAATTGTGGCAAAATGCATGGAAAGTCTGCTGCAGCTAAAACCTCACATCAGTCATCAAGTATTCCTACATTTAAAAGAGAACACTCAGATTTCTTTGGTGGCGTATTTTTCTCAACACTATCCTTGTCTCAAAAAGGACTGTTGCATTATTTCTTAAAGGAAACAGTTGACTGGGATCGGTCAAATAGGTCTCAGTAATCCTGAAAGTACTGGAGCGTATCTAATGCCATCTAATTTCCAGGGCAGTTTGAAAAGGCAGAGCAGCATTTATGCACAGGACCTTGAAACCGGACTGTGAGATACATTTATACAGTGCCTTGCAAAAGTATTCACCCCCCTTGGTGTTTTTCCTATTTTGTTGCATTACAACCTGTAATTTAAATGGATTTTTATTTGGATTTCATGTAATGGACATACACAAAATAGTCCAAATTAGTGAAGTGAAATGAAAAAAATAACTTGTTTCAAACAATTCTAAAAAATAAATAACGGAAAAGTGGTGCGTGCATATGTATTCACCCTCTTTGCTGTGAAGCCCCTAAATAAGATCTGGTGCAAACAATTACCTTCAGAAGTCACATAATTAGATAAATAAAGTCCACCTGTGTGCAATCTAAGTGTCACATGATCTCAGTATATATACACCTGTTCTGAAAGGCCCCAGAGTCTGCAACACCACTAAGCAAGGGGCACCACCAAGCAAGCGGCACCATGAAGACCAAGGAGCTCTCCAAACAGGTCAGGGACAAAGTTGTGGAGAAGTACAGATCAGGGTTGGGTTATAAAAAAATAACAGAAACTTTGAACATCCCACGGAGCACCATTAAATACATTATTAAAAAATGGAAAGAATATGGCACCACAACAAACCTGCCAAGAGAGGGCCACCCACCAAAACTCACGGACCAGGCAAGGAGGGCATTAATCAGAGGCAACAAAAGAGACCAAAGATAACCCTGAAGGAGCTGCAAAGCTCTACAGCGGAGATTGGAGTATCTGTCCATAGGACCACTTTAAGCCGTACACGCCACAGAGCTGGGCTTTACTGAACAGTGGCCAGAAAAAAGCCATTGCTTAAAGAAAAGAATAAGCAAACATGTTTGGTGTTCGCCAAAAGGCATGTGGGAGACTCCCCAAAAATATGGAAGCTGAGACTAAAATTGAGCTTTTTGGCCATCAAGGAAAACGCTATGTCTGGCGCAAACCCAACACCTCTCATCACCCCGAGAACACCATCCCCACAGTGAAGCATGGTGGTGGCAGTATCATGCTGTGAGGATGTTTTTCCATCGGCAGAGACTGGGAAACTGGTCAGAATTGAAGGAATGATGGATGGCGCTAAATACAGGGAAATTCTTGAGGGAAACCTGTTTCAGTCTTCCAGAGATTTGAGACTGGGACAGAGGTTCACCTTCCAGTAGGACAATGACCCTAAGCATAATGCTAAAGAAACACTCAAGTGGTTTAAGGGGAAACATTTAAATGTCTTGGAATGGCCTAGTTAAAGCCCAGACCTCAATCCAATTGAGAATCTGTGGTATGACTTAAAAATTGCTGTACATCAGTGGAACCCATCCAACTTGAAGGAGCTGGAGCAGTTTTGTCTTGAAGAATGGTCAAAAATCCCAGTGGCTAGATGTGCCAAGCTTATAGAGACATACCCCAAGAGACTTGCAGCTGTAATTGCTGCAAAAGGTGGCTCTACAAAGTATTGACATTGGGGGGGTGAATAGATATGCACGCTCAAGTTCAGTTTTTTGTCTTATTTCTTGTTTGTTTCACAATAAAAAATATTTTGCATCTTCAAAGTGGTAGGCATGTTGTGTAAATCAAATGATACAAACCCCCCAAAAATCCATTTTAATTCCAGGTTGTAAGGCAACAAAATAGGAAAAATGCCAAGGGGGGTGAATACTTTCGCAAGCCACTGTAGCCTATTATGAAACAGGACAAACGACTACACTGTCCATTTGATGCCCTTTTCCCTTTGATCTCAACAGCCCATTGATTCTATTGAGCGTTGATGAGTTGGCAGTTCATCTCAACAGTCCATTGAGTCACTCCCTGCAACTCTGTATCAATACTCCCTGTTAACTACAGGGATTATTATGTAGCATATAATAGTGTGTTCTGTGATCTGACATCTACTACTTGGTGCCCACCTGAGAGCTGGCGAGACAGGTCTCTGTAGATCTCTCTGCTCAGGTTGTGGAACTCCTCCTCTCGCCACACTTTCCCATCAGGAGTGCGGATCTTTGTCTCACTTCTGCTGAAACCTGATATGGGACAAGTGATTGTGTTACATAAGATTTGGTTTGAAGGAATTATGTAATGCTATTTTACATCCAGTGTAACTGCATCTCTCCAGTGGGCCTTACCTTTGTATATAGGTGCCGGAGGTGCGGCTGCCACTTTGCGTACTTTAGCCGTGGGTACGGTGGTGGTCTCCACAGCCCCAGTGATGCCCACTGGCTGCTCCAGGTACTCCAGCAGCCCGTCTCTCTCTGCAGCCTCCTCCAGGTGCTCCCTCTGCCTGCGGATCCTCTCCTTCAGCTTCTCCAGCTTGTCATCCGGCTGCCTTCGCCTTAAGTTCTCCAGCCGCTGGGAGGTCGAGCCAGGACTGGAGGACGCAGAGTTCTCTGCTGGGGGTGGGGCCGGGCCCTCCAGGGTGTGTGCTTTGGGCCTTTCCTCCGGGCCCTCCTCCCTGTTAGGGTCTCTGGCTGCAGCAGTGTGGCCTGGGGGCCGCAGGGCATCCAGCGCGGGACGGTCGTTGAGGTAACGCACCACAGTACTGTCCAGAGCAGACCAGTGTGTGCTGTCCAGGTCTCCGCGGGTCTGCTGGTCTCGGGTGTCACTCTGGTAGACCAGCTGGCTTAGACGGGAGTCTGGGGGAGGGGGGTTAGCCACCTCTGACTGCAGACTGTGGGCCTCCAGCTGGGAGGAGGTCAGGGGTGGTGGGGTCGCTTCCCTGGGGGGGAGTAGGAGGATTAGAGCATGCTTAAGGAAACAAATAGGCTAGTTGCTATTTAGAAAAACTTCAGAAAACAGGCTACTCGAGTGGGAGGTGTCAAGTTCACATGGCTTTGAATGGCAGCCTTATGTGCAAATACTTACACATGTAGATGTGGCGGTTATTAGTCTAAACGGGCTGTTTTGAAGTAGCCACTTAATGACCATGCTCTGACAGCAGGCCTTATAGGATTACAGTCAGGGACTGAAAACACAACCTTTTGTACTGTATTGTAGCACAACCTCAACTCAGTAGCAGCATACATTAGTAAATATGGTAGAAATACACTTCTGATTTAAAAAAAACATCTCATAACAATCTGAGTGTTTTAACAGTGCATACCTATAGGAGGCCAGAGGCTCCTTGAACTCCACACAGTTGTTCCTACGGACGTTGCTGTCCTGTGTGGTGTTCCTCAGGGGGCTGCGGGAGCTCTTGTCTGGGCTCCGACGACTCCTTGTGCTGGACTTGGAGGTTCCGCCTGCCTGAGAGCAGTCCTCTGTGCGCGGCCCATCTGAGTCAGGAGAGATAGGGTTAGATCCCTGCAAACCTTGCAATGCAAAATGAATTACACTTGCATCTGCAAAGTAATGATGATGCCTGCTGCTGCTGCCAAGTCCAGTTCGAAGAACCTTGTTCTGTAAATAGTAACCATAGCTTCCAAGGATTAGATATCACATTGGGTGCCTCACCTCTGCGGCTGACTTTCCTGGTGGCGCCCCCAGAGCTTTTCTTTGTATCCATGACGGATTCCAGCAGAACCCCAGAGCCAGGAGCGGCCTCCAGGCGATTCTCAATGTGCCGCAACTGCAGGGAAAACAAGAGCGCCTGCCTCAGATACACAATGTAGAACAAAAACTCACTTCAGAGTCCAGACAGACATTACAAATACCACAGGCCATGTGTCATTGCATTAAGGGTGAGTCTCCTCAAAGAGAGAAACAGTGAAATCTTCAGACAACATTGTAAATATTGGTTTACTTACAGCAGCTTTGGTTTGATTCAGACTTTTCCATGCAGCTGACAGCTCTGAGTGGAGAAAGGCATTTTAGTGAAAAGAAACATGGGGCTAAAGAAAAAAGGCAACACAAAAAGGTAAACAAAGTCTTTGCAGCCCCATAGACACCACAGGAGGCTGCTGAGGGGAAAACGGCCCATAATAATGGCCAGAGTGGAGCAAATGGAATGGCATCGAACACCTGGAAACCATGTGTTTGATGAATTTGATACCACTCCACTCCAGTCCAGTCATTAACACGAGCCCGTTCTCCCCAATTAAGCTGCCACCAACCTCCTGTGATAGACACATTTAAGGTGACATGGAGGGGTATCCCAAGTCCTTATTACTTCAGTGTGCCAGACAGTAGGATGTTGCACTGATAGAAGAAGGATAATAATAGCATAAGAGACATTAAGAAGCTGACCTCTCCCGTTGTCCTGCCCAGTAGGCTGCACCGGGGCAGTCAGGTGTAGCTCACTCCGCTTGGAGCTCCACATCACACCTTCAATTAGAATAGTAGAGGACAGTAGTGAAGTAAGGAAATATACTTGATAACATTTCACCAAGACAATTATCTGATCAATAAATACAGTTCACTGAGTAGCTGTAAGTGAGAAAAAGGAACCGAATGTCAGCAGCAGTACTTTTATGCTGCCATATATCCAGGAAAACAGAGTACACAGAAAACAAACCGCCTGAGCAGAAACACTGAAGCTAAACACAACATTAAAGATACTGGCAGGCAGATAATCCAAGTGACTGGGACAAGCACCTCTATCTGCAGCGGGTCAAAACAGGATGAATTATACGTATGGATGCGTAGGAAATAGCACATTTGTCTTTCATGACAGACTGCTGATTCAAGAGCGGTTGCACTACCATTTAAAACCGGTTCTACAGCAAATTACTAACAAGGTTTCTGTATGACAAGACATGGACATACGCAAGAAAAACAAATGTCTATGGGTGTATTATGCATCAAAGTTGAGAGAAAAACAGTCTTTAAGTAGGGTGACAGAAGAATCAATATATGTCCCTCTCCCAGTGTTAAGATTTTGTTAAATGAACCAATAATGGTCCCTTTACCTAGATGTGTTCTTAGGGGGGGGGGGGGGGGGGGGATAGGGCATTCTGGCATTTCATATGTCACACTTCATGCATTACTCACATGTCATGACAGTTCACTCATAATAAACAACACATAACACTTCCTTGAAGGTGTTCAGTTCAGGCTAGCATGGATGACTATTGCAAACGCTATGGTTACATTTAAGATCTAGCCTACTCCCCATGTACTCACAGCTACCACTTTTTACAGTCTGGCTGCCAACTGAAAGTGACAGCCACAAATCAGAGTGTTCAATAAAATATGAGGTCTGCAACAACATGTACCGGAAAACACTGGAGACAAATTTGTTCACTACATACATAGCAAATGATCAGGCATTGTAGGCAAAAACAAAGACTTGAAATGCAGCAACTTTGTCATAAAAGTGTAACGATATAATAACTGGGCACGAAACTTTAGCTACAGTTTCAGTGTTTATACATTTGAAAAGCCATTATTCATCATTACTCTTATAAATCTGCAATAGTTTTCTTAAATGTTGTGTTATTCTAGCTAGCTACCTGTCTTGGCTGATATATACACATACAAATCTAATAGAAAAGCTGAGGTGAGGCTGCCAACACAAAAGTTAAATCAACTTAGGCTACCTTTTGTGAAGAATTATTCACAGAAACATGACTGTCCCGTATCACGACATCGGTCGCCTGCAAGTAGCTAGCTAACGTTAGTTGTCTAGATGAGAGACTGAGAAACTATCAAGAAAAGCTGACTCCTCAGTGAAGCTAGCTAACGTTCGTTTGCAGACTACATACAGTAGCTAGCTAGTTAGGTACCATTGTTAACCTTGTAGCTCGCTAACTAGAAGGCTAGCGTTAGTGTGGGGCTTAGTTTAAAGGCAATTTTGCACAACTTCAAAAAGATCCCAATCGTAGCTACATACCGGTAAGGGTGACGCTCCGATCTAGATGTCCATTGATACTAGTGATGGTAGCTAGCTAGCTAGCTAATTTGTTGATGGTCAGAAAATCCAACTTTTCCAAAACCCCAGGCCGCTGCTACTGTAGCTAGCCTACTGTCAGTTGTTAGCAAACTAGCTTGTTAGCATCAACCAGATAACTTATTTCCAGAGGTCTGTCGCCTGTTATCAAAGCCTCAGTCTTGGAGAGTTTGGTTTTAGGCTTCTATTAATAATTAGCCACCCGCCTTTCAGGATGTCTTTTCCCGGGTTACAGTGTTGATATTCCCCGGCCGTTAATTTGACTGTCCGCCATTGACAAAATAACTACAGGAAACTGGTGCCGCGGAAACTCGCGGGAGGTGGAAAACGTGATTTCACGTGACTTCACAAAACTAGACTGCGGAACTAAGGGTGCGTTCGTAAATTCATTCTGGCTATCTACTGTGATTTCAGAGCACTCTCGTCTGAGTGGCCGTTGTCAGTAAACGTCGGCAAAGAAGCGTAATTACATTGTTGCCAGCAGCACAGTTACAGTCACCAACGCTCTGGATAACATGAAAACAGCCCTGCTAGGGAGAGTAAAATGGTCAGCGTGAGGTATTCCTCTCATTTGTACGTTAAAATGTATGCACACATGACTGTAAGTCGCTTTGGATAAAAGCGTCTGCTAAATGGCATATTATATTATATTTTTATATTATTTTTATATTATTATATTTATATATTATATATTATTATATATATTATATTTATATATATATTTATATATATATATTTTTATATTTTTATATTATTTGTGTCTGGAAGTAGCTAGCAAGCTAGCCAACATTAGCCAGTTAGCTTGGGTGCTTTACTGCCATTATGAGGTCAGAACGCTCGGATCAACCCAACTCCTTGGCCAGAGCGTCCAGTGTGCGCTCTGAATTTAAGAATGGACAATCTGACAACGCTCCAGATTGAATTTACGAACACACCCTAAGAAACTCGGAAATGTCCTACTTGCTAACTCGTTGTAGAAAGATGTGCCGCGTTCACATCCTAAATATTTCAAAAACTAAAATCACTGTATTTGGGACAAATTATTCACTAAACTTCAACTAAATCTTGTAATGAATAATGTGGTAATTGAGCAAGTTGAGGAATCTAAACTGCTTGGAGTAATCCTGGATTGTAAACTCTCATGGTCAAAACATATTGATACAACAGTAGCTAGGATGGGGAGAAGTCTGTCCATAATAAAGTGTTGCTCTGCATTCTTAACAGCACCATCAACAAGGCAGGTCCTACAGGCCCTAGTTTTGACGCACCTGGACTACAGCATGGCTGGCCCTTGGATGTACACAGAGAACTAACATTAATAATATGCATGTCAATCTCTCCTGGCTCAAAGTGGAGGAGAGATTGACTTCATCACTACTTGTATTTGTGAAAGTATTGACATGTTGAATGCACCGAGCTGTCTGTTTGAACTACTGGTTCACAGCTCGGACACCCAAGACATGCCACCAGAGGTCTCTTCAAAGTCCAGAACAGACTATGGGAGGCAAACAGTACTACATAGAGCCATGACTACATGGAACTCTATTCCACAACAAGTAACTCATGCAAGCAGTAAAATTTGATTTAAAAAACAGATAAAAATACACCTTATGGAACAGCGGGGACTGTGAAGCAACATAAATATAAGCACAGACACATGCATACAAACACACGATAACATACGCACTATACACACACATACACATATATTTGCCTTGGCAGCAGCTAATGGGGATCCATAATAAATACAAATACGTGCTAGTCGGACCTAGAAAACTAGGAAATGTCCGACTTGCTAACTCGCTGTAGAAATATGATCCAGAGTTTCCCACTTGACAAGTATCAGGATCAACCAACAGGAAGCACTACGCAAATAACTTACATTTATTTTAACTCGGAGATTCCGAGTTTCTGATAGTAAGTGAACATGGCAATAGACATATAGTGCATTCATGACAAGTCGGAATCTCGGAACCTCAGAGTTAAAATTGAACATAAGTTATTTGCATAGAGCTTCTTCCTATTGGTTGATTCTGATACTTTCAAGAGGGCAACTCGGAGCTGATATTTATACAAAGAGTTTCCAAGTCGGAAATGTCAGAGTTTCCTAGTTCTGACTAGAACTTGAACGCGGCATTATCTTTCTGAACCAGTTTCCAAGTCTGAAATTTCAGAGTTTCCTAGTTATCTCGAATGCACCAATATAGCGCTGCAGCCAAAGCCAGAGGGGCTTTGTCATAAAGTTCCATAAGGGGTCAAAAATGGCAGCCATCTTGGTCAGGGAGAAATCCAAAACCAGTTTAATTGGAATGAATAACTGTAGAGGCATAGGTGATGTATTTCCTGCTTTTACTTATGCAGGAAAATAAAAATAATGTAATATCAGGAATTGTGGCGTGGAATTATAGTCAACCTAAAATATTGACTATTAAAAGATTTTATACACATTTTCTGTATAAATAGCCTCTAAATATATGTAAACAGACCATCAATGTCTCAGATTTAGTTTTCTTGGAACGCTGTGAGTGATATTATATGACACAATATCAATACTTGTTGTCTCCAAAGCTTCCCACAGTTGTGTCAAATTGGCTGGATGTCCTTTGGGTGGTGGACCATTCAGGAAACTGTTGAGCATGAACAGCAGCGTTGCAGTTCTTGACACACTCAAACCGGTGTACCTGGCACCTACTACCATACCCTGTTCAAAGGCACTTAAATCTTTTGTCTTGCCCATTCACACTCTGAATGGCACACATACACAATCCATGTCTCAATTGTCTCAAGGCTTAAAAATCCTTCTTTAACCTGTCTCCTCCCCTTCATCTAAACTGACTGAAGTTGTTTAACATCATCAACTGATTTGAGTCAGCAGTGTATGGCTGTGGATTGACTGCATTGTTTGAATTAAATGTTGGCATATTGGCAGTTAATTTGAAAAATGTATGGAATCATTCCTCTAATACTGTCTGGTTAGTTAGCTAACAAACATACAGTGCAGATAAATTATTCAAATGCATTATTTTACACACAACATCTTATCACAGCATTGGCAAACCATGGGTGACCAACTCCCTGACCAACATTGCTGACCTGTAGCTCAGTTGGTAGAGCATGGCGCTTGCAATGCCAGGGTTGTGGGTTCATTGCCCACGGGGTGCCAGTGTCGTATCGGGTGAATGCTGGCAATTATTGCTGTCAATCAAGGAGTCCGCTTAGGCTGCACCGTGTTTAGAGGCTTTTATTAAAATCACGAGGTTACAGCATAAGTTACAGACCCGCGGAGTCTGGAGAAGCCCCGTCCCAAATTAATCTGAATGCTTCTGACTCTTCTTCGTTTTTCCCCCAGTATATATAAACTCCCCAAGATGTGGGTGGCTCCCTCTACTGTCCAATCCCCTGTCTACAACACACTTCCTGTCTGTTGTATG